GTATAGTATCACAGGTCAGGGAGTCAAACTGTCTATAGTATCACAGGTCAGGGAGTCAAACTGTGTATAGTATCACAGGTCAGGGAGTCAAACTGTGTATAGTATCACAGGTCAGTAACTGTGTATAGTATCACAGGTCAGGGAGTCAAACTGTGTATAGTATCACAGGTCAGGGAGTCAAACTGTCTATAGTATCACAGGTCAGGGAGTCAAACTGTCTATAGTATCACAGGTCAGGGAGTCAAACTGTCTATAGTATCACAGGTCAGGGAGTCAAACTGTCTATAGTATCACAGGTCAGGGAATCAAACTGTCTATAGTATCACAGGTCAGGGAGTCAAACTGTGTATAGTATCACAGGTCAGGGAGTCAAACTGTGTATAGTATCACAGGTCAGGGAGTCAAACTGTGTATAGTATCACAGGTCAGGGAGTCAAACTGTGTATAGTATCACAGGTCAATCACAGGTCAAGTCAAACTGTCTATAGTATCACACATCAGAGAGTCAAACTGTGTATAGTATCACAGGTCAGGGAGTCAAACTGTGTATAGTATCACAGGTCAGGGAGTCAAACTGTGTATAGTATCACAGGTCAGGGAGTCAAACTGTCTATAGTATCACAGGTCAGGGAGTCAAACTGTCTATAGTATCACAGGTCAGGGAGTCAAACTGTCTATAGTATCACAGGTCAGGGAGTCTAACTGTCTATAGTATCACAGGTCAGTCTATAGTATCACAGGTCAGGGAGTCAAACTGTCTATAGTATCACAGGTCAGGGAGTCAAACTGTGTATAGTATCACAGGTCAGGGAGTCAAACTGTGTATAGTATCACAGGTCAGGGAGTCAAACTGTCTATAGTATCACAGGTCAGGGAGTCAAACTGTCTATAGTATCACAGGTCAGGGAGTCAAACTGGAAGTCAAAATGTGTATAGTATCACAGGTCAGGGAGTCAAACTGTGTATAGTATCACAGGTCAGGGAGTCAAACTGTGTATAGTATCACAGGCCAGGGAGTCAAACTGTCTATAGTATCACAGGTCAGGGAGTCAAACTGTGTATAGTATCACAGGTCAGGGAGTCAAACTGTCTATAGTATCACAGGTCAGGGAGTCAAACTGTCTATAGTATCACAGGTCAGGGAGTCAAACTGTCTATAGTATCACAGGTCAGGGAGTCAAACTGTGTATAGTATCACAGGTCAGGGAGTCAAACTGTGTATAGTATCACAGGTCAGGGAGTCAAACTGTGTATAGTATCACAGGTCAGGGAGTCAAACTGTCTATAGTATCACAGGTCAGGGAGTCAAACTGTGTATAGTATCACAGGTCAGGGAGTCAAACTGTGTATAGTATCACAGGTCAGGGAGTCAAACTGTCTAAGTATCTGTCAAACTGTCTATAGTATCACAGGTCAGGGAGTCAAACTGTCTATAGTATCACAGGTCAGGGAGTCTAACTGTCTATAGTATCACAGGTCAGGGAGTCTAACTGTGTATAGTATCACAGGTCAGGGAGTCTAACTGTGTATAGTATCACAGGTCAGGGAGTCTAACTGTGTATAGTATCACAGGTCAGGGAGTCTAACTGTGTATAGTATCACAGGTCAGGGAATCTTACCTTCTATAGACCAGCATACATTATAACATATCAACTATACCAAAAATGATGATATGCTGGTTTATATTCTGATAATGAACTATATCTGACCATTATCTGTCCTAACTCTGTAGATATGATAATAAACCCTGCAATCCAAAATCAGTGAGATGGCTCCTGGGTTTAAGATAAATTTGGTGAACGTAAGAATGATTTTGGTGAACTCCTAATGAATATATATACACTATACTTAGATTAGTTATATCAGAGTTCCATATGTTTACAAATGAAAGCTGTATGTGATGATATATAGATATAGGCCTGTCTTTTAGTAACCTACACATCTGTGCTATTTGTCCCTGTCACTAAGCTGTCAGTGTTTGTTTAGATTTTAGTAGAAATTATTGATTTCTCTCCACATTTCATTTGAATGATGAGCTATTTAAAGCAATGTGTCCTACACAAACAAATAGGCTTAAACTTTCTACAGGTCCAAACATGATGCCTAGGTATTCATGCTGTCATTTTCACCTGTACACAGGAGACAAAAATGTACTTGTGTATGTGTTGGATAATTTCACCTCACACAATTGAATACTTATTCTAAACATTTCAGGCCATGTATAGTATGATTATACAATCTGATATCATTAAATGTCTAGATATAACGACTGTGTATATGTTATGTGTGTATGTACCTGGCTTAGTTCAACCAGCTGTACCGTACCTGGTGGTTTGTGGAAAATGACACACCTGTGCGCCTGCCAATTAACTCAAATGTATAATATCATGTATTGTTTTCAATAAATCTATTGTTGATAAGTACTGATTGTCTATAGATTGCACCAGGTACATGTGATGTACAAGTTTACACAGCAGTATTGTAAAAAGTTGATATACACATATTGGAATTAATTTTAGAAATTAATTACTGAAAATGTAAATTGAATAAGGTGATTTGGTTGTTGTCCTCTACCTGTGGTTGCTATGGACAAACAGGTATGTATATTGATATAGGTGTGGCATTATACTGAACATTTTGTTTGTCTATATATTCCTGTCTATGTACAATAATCATTCAATATTAAATCTGGCAATTTATAGACAGATTTTAACCTTACCTATATATTGATATTTATATTTTTCATTCAAAATTTACTGGAATTTTTGAGTTTTTATCATTAATTTATGTTTTAGGATCCTTTCTGAAAATGTTAATATGTGTGAGAAATTTTTATTTTATCCTCAACCTTTCCTTAAGACAGGTACCCTTCTTGTCCATGTTTCCAATGTTTGTATAGGGTATATCAGTCATCCCCTTCAATTTCTACACTCACATAACTTAAATCCACCATTAATAACAAGCCAATTTTACAATTTTAACACATACCTCTATCAACCCACCCCTTACCTACCCCAGCCCCTCTCCTACACAATGTTACCACATACCTCTATCAACCCACCCCTTACCTACCCCCAGCCCCTCTCCTACATAATTTTACCACATACCTCTATCAACCCACCCCTTACCTACCCCAGCCCCTCTCCTACACAATGTTACCACATACCTCTATCAACCCACCCCTTACCTACCCCCAGCCCCTCTCCTACACAATGTTAGCACATACCTCTATCAACCCACCCCTTACCTACCCCCAGCCCCTCTCCTACACAATTTTACCACATACCTCTATCAACCCACCCCTTACCTACCCCAGCCCCTCTCCTACACAATGTTACCACATACCTCTATCAACCCACCCCTTACCTACCCCAGCCCCTCTCCTACACAATGTTACCACATACCTCTATCAACCCACCCCTTACCTACCCCCAGCCCCTCTCCTACACAATTTTACCACATACCTCTATCAACCCACCCCTTACCTACCCCCAGCCCCTCCCTTACACAATTTTACCACATACCTCTATCAACCCACCCCTTACCTACCCCCAGCCCCTCCCCTTCACAATTTTACCACATATCTTTATCAACCCACCCTTTACCTACCTCCATCCTCTCTTATACACCACTAACTTGCCTCTATTTATCCCTGGTCCCCTCATCCACAACATCATCACCACCTCTTAACTGCCACCTGCCTGTTACCACCCCCTCCATTCCCTCCCCTCTATCACACCATTAACACCACCCCAGAACTGATGAAGAATTGACCCTTTTGAACTAATCCTATCTGTCTAGCCTGGGTTTGGGGCTGTTCTGGTAATTTGTCTCCTCACCTGTCTGTTTCTGTACAGGTATCTATTGTCTAGTATTAATTAAAGGTGATCATTCATTAATACTTCATACACATTTATGATTGACAGTTACACAATGTGGTGTAATTCAGGGCAGTTATCCACTCCAGCGCATGATTAAAACTGGACAAAATATTTTATCAATAAAGTGTTAAATATTTTGTAATAATTCAATTGACACATCTGTTTATAAGATTATAAATGTGAAAGATTAAATACATGCTCTAGAGGTCTTATTGTGTTATATTTTTATCTCTGTAGCATGCTAGACTTAAGGTTGAGCCAGTAAGTACTCGTGTCTTGCTTAAATAATGACCTGGTTTCTAGACCAAGTGAGGCCAAATGTTTTGTAAAGTTGGATTATCCTATAAGTTGGTGGTTGACTATAGATTGTGCTTTGTAGATCTTTTACTGATCATATGAAAGGATGACGTAAATTGTATTCTTATCATTAAAAGTCTTTATATATACCACTCTAGGTTGTGACATTACAGAATTCAATAAAACAAACACCATGACCCGGGAGAAGGAAAACTGGTATCACAAAACTCATTAGAGCTTTGAAATTGGCTAATTCCACTGAAGAGAATTTCCAATATAAAAAAAATCAATACTGTTATTTCACATACGTTTCTTCCTAGGGTGTTGTATAAACCCTTCAGAGAATTCATTTGATAGAGTGAGTTTTTTCTTGATAAGAGGTGAAATTTATGTAAGAAAGGTGTATATAGGGAGCTAGTTTCACTCTCGTTCCCTATTTTGCACGCGATTGATCTTCTTTATGATTGGTCAATATCTGTGTGAGTGTATATATGCCTTAGGCCTACCCGACATGGAAACCATGCGACAATTGGCCTGTATATTTGTGTACTCAGTGAGATGTCCCTTTCTCTCTGTATATCCTTACCTACAGTGTGTGCCAACCATTTAAACCTCCTACTTTATCATGTCCTTACGGCTGCCTGAGCTTTCGTTGTTGTCGGAGTGTCATGTTTAGGTGACTGAGGAACGGAATACCAGAACAGTTCTGTGTCAGAGATTCACCATTTCATATTGGTTGGTTACTGGTGGATATTTATGTGATATTAGCCATTTTTGTGGCTTAAGTTTTCATATTTGAAAGCTAAATATAAAAAAGCCAACATGACAACTGTGAAGGCTAATCGTGAAGCTCAAATGGTAAGTGACACATGTACATTTGACAAGTTAAAACACAGATTAAAAACAGTGTATTGTTCTGGTCGTAAGATATGTGATAGTAAGCATTCTTTTTCTAGTTAGCAGTTTAAGTGTACATGTACTTTGATGTACCTTGTCATGTTCTGTCAGAAATAAGTCATCTACAGCTACACTATACAAACAGAATATGATCTTATTGGAAATGGTTTGGGTAGAATTAAGAATGGATGGCTTTCCTGGGACTTACATAGTTGTTGAGAGTGGTTGAGAGATGAATAGAAAAGAAAGATTTTTTATAGAAGGGGAAGGTAGGAGGTTTAGTGGTTGTGGGTATGTAAGAGGGGAACAGAGTTTGGTGACATCATTGGATAAGGATATATTGAAACTGAAACTCCAAATATTTAGTTTAAGTGAAGTTAGAAATTGATTAAAAATTTTGATTAAAGCATAGAAACAACATGTAAATATTACTTTGAAGTTTATAAAATTACAGTCTAGGTTATTGGTGATGTTCAGTTGTGATGTTGAATGATCAGCAAACTGACAATCTGTTCCCTGGGTGTATAAAGCTTGTTACTAAATCCTTCACAGACTGTGTACTTGTGATTGCTCTAGTCTACCTAGCTGTTAGTCTGGAATGATAACCGTGACCCAGAGGAGTCGCTTCATTTAGTTGATGATAACCATTTATTTATTCTTATCCACCAAAATTCCTAAACATATTCACCCCTGTATTCCAAATATACATTTTTTTAAAATCATATATATAATCACATTATTTTGAAGGCAGTCATCACTGTTTATGACAATTTTCTGCTTTTGAAATTACCAGAATAATGTTCTTTATTTGCTCAATGTGAGATAATTATTATTTGGTATGAAAAGTTGATTTATTACACACTGAAGTCTGATTTATTGAATGTTCTACAGTCAAGTAAACGGGCTATTTTATCTATCTGGATCTGTTTGAAATATTGTCACAAGTTGATCCTCGATGTTCATGTCCATCAAGGTATGTATCAGGTGTTAACAGAAGATGTTTCCAGAGGTGTGAAATAGATCATTCCTACTTTAGGAATTTGAACTACTTGGGGTTATCAAGAATGTAAATTGATTTCTTTATTTGCCAGCTGTTTGACTGTATCAAGTTTCTCATGGGAACTCTGAAGTCTGTTTTCTGGTGACATGATCAGAATATCATTTGTGTCCGATCACAATCAATATCAAGGATTATTTGTTAAATCAAATCGTGATCTTGTAACTTGCAGCAGTGAGACATCAGTAAGCTTGTATTCTTAGAATTTCCAACCATCCCAACTTACTTTGATAACGAAAGACCATGGCTGAGGTTACATACCAATACCCAGCACATAGTTACTGTTGATTCCAAAAATGTTAAATGACCTTTAGGAATTTAATTGTTTTAGAAAGATGTTTAAAATCCTGCTGGATAAGTAAAACTAGTCTTAATGTCAGTTTCCTAATCTTGTCTGTCACAGAACGTTTTGTTTTGATTCAATTTTCCAGACATCATTCTCAAATGGTAATTAAATACATTGTTATCAAATATTTGTGAAAATTTTGAATTTTTTTTTGCATCCATATTCTCAAAATTTGTGAAAACTTAATGAAATGGAATTAACAGTCTGTTACAATATATTACACTTCAGGTATCAGACATTCAGCATTACCATTCTTGTCAGGAGATTCTTTAAGTTACACAAACACATTCAAATGTTTAACATTCATTCCAGTTGAATTGGTTTTGTCTTGGTGTCAAACCTGGCTTTGTTTTTGACCGATTCTTATATATCTGTTTTGTATCTGAATTATTCATGGATTGGTTGCCATGGATACAATTCTAGCGTTAGATTTTTACTCCCATATAACTGACAGGCAACGGGAATAATGAGTATTTATTTCGGTTTTTTATGACATGTTAAGGCTACATTTAGTTATAGGATGATAAACTGCCTGGTCCCCAGGGACATGCAATACACTAGACTTTTGTTCCAGGAGTTTAAAGCACAGACATAAGTCATTTTATGGTTTGTGAATCGGTTGATAGCGGAACTTTGTGATGTCCTGCACTATGGATCAGACATGAATAATTCATCCATGGTTGTATACAATCAGCCACTGTAACTGCTGATAAAGAAAGAATGACATTCTTCAGCAGGAGACAGCAGTACATACTGTCTAGAAAGAATATTTCATGGATGATTTTTCCAGGGATTGTTTTTCAAAAGACAATTAAGATCGGATTCAATATTTTGTTTTCGTATCTTTATTTAAATTAAAAAATAACTAGAGGTTTTTCAGAAGAGCATTTCTGGCCTCAGATAAAGATTGATGTGTTTGGTTCAGTCTCTACCCAGGGTGGTTTGTGTTTCTCAGGAAGCTTAGAACTGATACCTGGATGGCATGTGTTGGACCTTCCTTATAGTGTTCACTGAGGTAGCTGTCAGCTATTGCAAGGACAGCCCCCTCAAAATAACCATGGCTGTTCACAGGATAAAAATCCAACAAACACATGGCTAGTACTCTCTTCAGGTCAAGTTTTAGTCCTTTGCTGTACCAGTGTAATGTACAATAGGACAGACAACTGTATGTTTTTTGTCACTGTTTAGAATCTAGCAAGGTCGTAAACTTATTCAGTATATATGTATGTATAGAGTTAGGAATTGATTTTCACCTACCTGTATATATACTGTAATACTTGGAATGTGTTAGGGACGTGTTATTGAATTATCGTCCTGAGCTTCCGTATTTATCTAATCAATACGTTATGTATCTAACAAAACTCGAGACTCGATGATTGTATGACAATAAGCTTAGTTTTTGTCCGGGGAATTACGAAAGGCTTTAATGCATTTTTGTTGTCTACGTGCAGCTGAACTGACTTGAATTCATTTGGTTCATCAACAGTTTTGTCTGTTTGTGACTCCCAGATAGAAACATTGAGAGAATTTTCTGTGATGTGCCTATGACTTCCTGATTGAGAATATGCTGTGACTTGTTTTTGATTCTCAAACATTAGGGATTTCTGTGACCTGTTCATTAGGTGCTAACACTAGTTACCTTTCTGAAATATGAGTTTCCGATTTAAAAAAACAGCACTAAAGTATCAAGAAGAAAACGTTCTGTAATATAGAATTGAATGTCAGTGTCATAGAACCACGTGATAGCTATTTAAAACTGACTGGTGTTTATCGATGAAAACACTGATCCTATGTTTATTTTTATTTGGCAAAACATCTTGTCACCAAGATTAAATCTGTTTTATTGCAATAACTTTTGCCAGTCAACCTCAAACTTCATACAGTTCTTCTTACCAAAAGTGCTTGCTAGGGATTGCTGTTTAGGTCTAAATGTCGAGGTCAACATTACTATAAATAGGAAATTTTTTAGCAATAAATTGAGTACACTTCGGTAGATCTACCTCAAACTCACGGTGCTTCGTAATCAGAAGTGCTTGCTTGGGATTGCTTTTCAGGTCAAAAGGTCATTGTAGCTGTAAAAAGAAATTTGGCTTTGTGTGGAGTTCTTGTGGAATGAACATTCTAAAATTACATATTGATTTAAAAAAAGAAAAATAATGGTACCGTTATATTTTATTTTCTAAGTTTTAAAACTATCCATCACTTTGAAATTTTCTGAAAAATTATACCATATTAGATATATCTCTATCTAGTATACATATCAATGGGGATTTAGGTAAAACAGGAGCATAATACTGGAGAAGCCCACATTTCACTAACACACTATAGAGGAATCCAAAGTGTCAGCTCATGGTATTAAAAGTAGTTAGATATTGTCTCTGGTTGTCAAACTGTTTCACCAGAGACACAGGGCTAGCCTTATTTGTACTGAATTTCACAAGGACTGTTCACAGAACAAGTATGTATGGTGGGGAATGACATGTTTTTTCAACAGATTAGTTCTAGATCTATAGAATGTATGTTGGTATATCCACTACAATAACTGACAACAGACAGAATTTCCAGGTCTGGTCTTTTTCTGTAAAACAACAGAGGTTTTGATAAGTTACAGGAATTAGGAGGTGTCTTTTTTCCCCCAAAACTGACTTGTTTCACATTTTTTCACTGAAAGAAAGTCTTTGATAAAATTTGAAATTCTTCCATTTAAAGTTATAAACCAAAATTGCCTATTTGGTACAAAGCATATTTCCTAGTAGAGGGAGAGGGAACTGTGGAGACAGTGTGAATTCAAACCCTAGCCCAAGGTACATGTACTCAGGTACTTCATTTTTGTATAGACAGGAGAATCTTCTACCAGGGTTTTTGTAGGATCAACAAATTATATGTCATTGAATTGGCAGCATTTCTTCTTCTTTCTTTAAAGATGTTTTGAGAAATTTACTCTGAGAAAACACTGATTAAGGTGTCCATTCTGTCTGGCAGCAAAGTATACATAAGCGATGCTTCTTTTTAAGCAATTGATTTCTAGACTAGAATTCATTTTTTTTGTACCAAATTATTCTTCTATCAGAAAAGAAGCTATGGAATTCTTTATAATAAGTTAATATGGGTTCAGGTTTTGACATTCGCTTTGGATTTAAGCTGAAGTTTTGTTGTTGGGTATAAACAGTTTAAACTTGTGTGAAAAATATATGAAGTGTTGACAGAATGTAACTTAGTTGATGGTAAGAAAAAACTTTAGAAAAAAATGGAGTTATTATGTAAGCAAAAATTCCCTAGCATATCAACCTAATAAAAAATACATTCTTTATATAAATATGGTAGCACAACATGAAAAAATTATAATCAAGGGAGATTATTCTAGATTAAAGGAGATAATTATTGATTAAGGGAGATAATTCTAGATTAATTCATAAGGTAGAATTTATCAATCAGCTGTAGCCTCACACTTCTTGCTTTCAGTTCTGATGGATAAAATCAAAATAATCTGTATACATTGAGGCAACTTCCTGCTATATCATGACCATTATTTCTTTTAAGGGCAGTTTCATCGTCACACTTTACATTTGAAATTAGAAAGTTTTACAAGATTAGTTCTATAAAATGAAATGAAAACCTCATTACTTTAGAGATTAACACCTTAACTAAAACTCTGACATACATCCAAAGTGTTTCATCAGGGAAGGAAAGTAAACATGGGAGTTTATTGGCTCAAAAAGGCTTTGGGCAGAAGCCAATTTTTTCAAAGCATTGGCTTCGAATGAGTTGATAGAAAAGTCCAATTATAGCGGCTATATTTCACTCATACACTGACATCTCTTTGGTTAATGGGTTTGAATGTGGATTCAAAGACATTTGAAGATTGGAAATTGAAATTGGATGATATATATAGACCTACTCTATAATACCTCTGATTCATTACCATTAATCCAATAAATCAGATTTGTGGTGTGTTTTAGTTATCATAAGTACGTTGGTATTGAGTGGTCATATCAATTAGTTATTTATAGAGGCCTAACTGTTGGAAATTTATGAAACAGATTACGGTTTCCATGGAAACAACTAAGTCTATAAGTAAGCAATACGTTTACTTTACCTGTAATTGTTGACATTTACATTGTCTATAAATGCCATGGTAAGGCAGCACAAGGTTTATCTGTCCTTCACGTTTTGCTGTCTTATGTCAGATTCTAATCAGTTTTAACTGCATAGGTTTTTGAATACTTGCAGCATGGTACTTAAGATAGAAAAAAACATTCTGATGGTATCATAACTGAATCTCAGACTTACAATTATGATTTTGTAATGGATTAAAACAAATGTCAATTATTACCCTATAAATGATATTTCAAGTCATTTATATTGAAGATCTATAAATTAGAAGAAAAGAGGATTTATCAACAGACAACATTTTCATCTTCTCATTAAAAGTAAAATCAAAATCACCCACTGGAACTGGACATCTTGTTGTTCTTGACTTTTCATATTGAACTTAGTTGGATGACCTTGACTTTTCATATTGAACTTAGTTGGATGACCTTGACTTTTCATATTGAACTTAGTTGGGTGACCTTACCTTTTTTAGTTAAACTTGACAATGTGTTTAACTAGTATGCTTGCTGTTGATCATGATATTATTTTATGATTTTTGAAAAATATTGTTTTACATGGCATTTATTTTTTACCAATATGTCTTGTGATTTCAGCTGAAGTTGAAGGAGGAGAGAGAGGCAAAGCGTTCCCACATTGATGAGCGCCATACTTACATCCTACAGACAGTGGCCGATGGGCTGGGACTGGAATACAATGAGGTGGAGGACTGTGTCCTTGAAGGCAATCAGGTACATATCCTCCATCTCACTTGTTATCAATAGTTATGGAATTATCACCACTTCTAATCATTTTAGCATTGCCAGTCTAAGCACCTCTTATTGAGTCCCGTACTTCTTTCGTTAGGTGATGATATTGGAGAGAAATGATGACTTTTAAAATTTTAATTGATAGAGATCAAAATTGACATATAATGTCCAGATATAAAAAGAAATGGATCAAAATTGCTTATTGGTTTGTTGTTTACTATCAACTCATTTGGATTTGTTATATACTATTAACTTATTTGATTTGTTGTGTACTATCAATTTATTTGACATCTGTATGACTACATACTAAAGGTCACATACAGGATGCAGGTGTAACAATATGAAGTAAATATCTGGGAGACTCCCACTAATAGTAGGAATGATTGACAGGAATGGTGAGCTGGCAATTATGAGATTCCATGATGGCAATTATGAGATTCCATGATAAGATTTGCCCTGACTAGATTAAATACATGTTATTAAACAAGTTGTGAAAATATTACTGTCCTGATGAGACAATTTTTTGACTTTCCCTTTTGTTTTATCCACAGCTGACTGTAATGGACCAGTTTCTACAGCCTAATGGAATGTCCCAACTTCTGTTTTATTATCAAGAACCAGAGGAAAAGGAGAGTGGTGAGTTCATGACCTTTTCTCCCAATCAAGGGAGACTACTCTTTACAGGGAAGGTGGCTGCCACTTAAATTGCCTAATGAACACTGGTGTTATATACCAGAAAATGTTTCATTAGCTGGAAAGTCAGGGTTTTAACTAAATTCAATTCACTTGCATATAGTATGTCCCTCATTTTGAAGTTAAACTAATATGCCAATACATTCTCGCCCCTCCCTTCCATCTTCTCCCAATGATATTTGCTGTGAAGCTGTTGTGCCCCCATCCCTTTCTCTGCACCATTCCACCATTATGATATCCCTGTTTATCTGTTTAATTTTTCTTCTGTAGGCATGAAATATGACTTGAGAACCAGGATTTAACCTTATACATAGAAGATAAAATCATGACCCTGACAGATCAGTATTGTGAGATCATGTAGAACTGTAGGTTATGAGAAAATTAAGTATTTAAAAATCCTTTTAAATGACAGAATTAAAATTTTGAGTTTGTTTTTATTAATATATAGAAATTTTGAAGTACCTGAACTGACATGAAAAATGTTTAAATTTAATGTAGAAGTTTGTTACTACAGTGTACAAGCATGAACTTGTAGTTGTAAGAAATCAATTTGTAAACCTTTAATTAAGATTTTCAAAAAGTTTTGATTGTATCATGTTTCATTGGTGTTAACATATAGGTATTACACTGAAAAGAACTACTACAGGTGAATGTTTTCTGTCTGGTTAACTACCAAACTAAAAATGCCAATGTAATTCCAAATTTTAGTAGAAATTATAAACATGATTTTGAATTTAGATTAAAGTACACCCATAAATCCAAAATTAAACAAAACAAATTCATTTTTTTGGGAAGAGAAGTATGGATTTATTGTTCTAATTTTGTGTTACATTGTATTGTGTGTAGAGCCCCGTAGTGTACGGAAGCAACATACCATGAGGACCATTCAATGTAGGTTACGATTATCATTAAGTGGGTCCTATAAGGTGCACAGGTGACAAGCATGTATACATTAACGCATTTATTAACAGGTCTATTACACATATTTTATGCATGCATGGATTTTTAATGTATATCATTATTTATTGGTAATTTTTATTTCATATTTTGAACATTTTACTCACAATGCTTGGTATTGGATTATATACATATTTACACATTTTTCAGGCTTATAAATAAAATCAATAGTTAGTTAAACTACTCCCTTTTTATTAGAAGAGAATTTTTGTTTCAAAATCACTTTTACACTTGTTAGGTTTTTAAACTTCTTACATATAAAAATTTCACATTTTAGAAAATTTTCAACAGAATATTTACAATTTTGATATATTTGAATTTCAAAAAGGTAGAAAAGAAATTTCTCGTGACATTTCTTACAGTTTTTATTGACTGGAAATTCAAATTGCAATTGAACTCAAAGAACCAGTGTTTGACTGGTGAGCTTGGATATAGACTTACACACAGGTATAAATCCTTGTACAAACGTTGTCTTTGTCTAATCAGACCTGGGTGTGTAGGCCATACATTACAAGTTTTAAACAAAACAATATTGTCTGCCAGGCAGAGTTAAGAGTAAGTTATGAAACCTACATGTTTACATACCCTAACAGACTTTTAAACCTCCTAGATTCAATCCTGTTTAGTGTTTATAGCCTTGCCATGGACACGGCACTTATTGGACATTTTTAAACCAGGTCAAATAAATTTCAGTTTCTTACCTCTAACTTTTTGAAAGGTGTTTCACTACCTATTGAAATGCTAATTATATTACAATTGCCGATACCACTTGACGGATTCAATTTCTGAATAAAAGTATTCTATCTACACAGATTTTCTGTATAGAGACCATAAATGGCCTTCAATATAGGTCCTTATAACTCTGACACTGTAGAGCTTTAAAACATTGTTTACATTCATTGTTTACTTGGTAACATAGACAGAGCCATTCTACTTCAGGGTCACTCTTTTGTTAACAAGTTTTATAATGCACAGTTATTATAACCACACAAATGGTGTTTGGTTTTACATATATGGATCTATAATACATATCCATATTACTGATTCATGGGTTTTAAGTATTTTAGTAATTTCACAAATTACACCAGAAGTATGATTATTGCATACTTAAAGTTATTCAAATGACAGACTTTTCGTTTCAATGATTTCACATTGACCTTGATGTTAATGGGATTGGTAGTTTGTCTTGATTTTCTGTATATTTCACATTACAATGAAACAAAACCTGTATTAAAATATTTTTTTACAAATTGTATTGTTTAAATCAAGAGTCTAATTTTAAAAAAATCACATAAATTCACAAATTGAAAATACTCAGTACACTTTTATATTAATGAGTTATCTCTCTTTGGTATTTTCTCCCTTTATTGTTATCTCCCTTTTGTTGCCTATATGTACTTGCACTTTTGTTTTATTTGAATCAGTTAGTTGCAGAACCCATGCTATACCCATATTAATATTGTGTTGTGCTATTTCAGCGTCTGTTGGATTTCAGTTGCATCATGCAGCCCCTGAACCTAAAGGCCACGGTATAACCTCTACCCTATATTTACCACACCTTCCATCCCAACCAACCTACTCTTCTAGCCATCTCTCAGTGCTTTCACAATCCAGAAAAATCAAATAATGTCCCTGTGTCTTTTTAATTGACTTCGTAACGTTCTCTTTATACTTGAAAAATTGATGTAAAATTAAGTTGATATTTTGAACCTGTTTTAACCAAGCCTAAGACTTAGTGATCCTTTGGAAATTTCTGTGTCCTCCTCTACTATAATGTTTAAAATTCCATGTACGTTTGGTTAAGAAATGATTCTATTCAAATAGATTTTCATCAAGTTTGGAAAATTTCTTTTCTACGTGTATTAAATATTTAGCATTAATACTACATTTCCTGTTCTATCTCTCAAGTGTTAACTTTGTAGTTGAGTAAATGAAATTAGTAAAAGATAGACAGGAGCACACACTGCATCAATGTTTACACTTCAGCTAAACTTGCAGTCTGTAGTTCTTGCTTAGGACAACATTTTAAAAATAAAAATATAAAATGGAAAAAAATGTGAACTTATTTTGGAAGTATTCAATATCTAAAATATCATTGATTTTGAGCTGGTCAGTTAGAACTTCAGGTTGCCATGACTACGAGCGGTATAATTGTAGAATTACTGAACATTTAGAGCATTCATAATTTTTATGACTTCTTAACACGCTTACTTTAAAGTAGTGACACAAATGGTCAAAGAAAATTACATTTTTTTCATAAGATTTTCAATGTGAGTGATTTTGATAAATATTAATTAGGTCGTTAAGTACAAGGCGTTAGGATGGCTGGGAGGGTGTGGTCAGGGTGGGGTTCTTTATATATCTGAACGGTGTAAGACTGATCACTGGGCATGCTATCATAATAATTCACCTCTCTGCCTTTCCACAGATGTCACAGAAACTGGACATAACCTATCTCCCCCATCACAATGAGGCCAGTTCTGTCCATACATAACTATCATAGGTCAGAGGTCACAAAAAATGGATATAACCTCATCTCCCCGTCACAATAAGGCTAAGCTTCAAAACATAACTTAAAGGTCAGAGGTCATACAGACTGGATATAACCTTATCTCCCCAGCTCAATGACGCCAGAACTACCCCAAAGAAGATGTGTCTTGTGTTATAGAAACTACCTTGTTATTATAGAGTTGTTTAAAACCCATCAGTTTCTGTACAGCAGAAATACAATAAACTACTACATGGAAAATCCTCCCACACAGGAGATGTAACCTTCAAATTATATTGATCCACAATTAAAATGTACCTTACATTCACCGAAGTGAAAGACTTAATGTAGTTTTTAAAAATAAAAAGAGATGTTGATTTTGAAAATAATATTCAGTCTTTTGTTGATAGAAAATTGTTAGAAATTGTTGTTAGAAAAAACCAAAGCTTAGTCTGACATTTACAAAATGTAGTGAATGAGGTTTATTATCGTATTTGCAAACAATATGCCCTGGGGACCAATTTAAAAATTCTTTTACATAAAATAGTCGTGGTGGAAGTTAATGTTACTTATGAAACAATGAAATATCTTTTGGTGGGGTACACAGCAGAATAACAATAGATTACGTGGGTTTATAAGTGTAAAATTAGGTCAGAATTCTCCTGGACATGTAAAAACATTGGTTCAACTGTATTAATTAAAACTGGCCTCGTTGTGAGCTCTGGAACTGGACATCCTCCACTTCTTAATCATTTGTACATCATGTTTTGGAAACCAAAAGTTTTCCTTACAACCAGTATCATGCAGATCAGTATACATGTGTGAATCCAAAGTAACTCTTTGCAGATCTTATCACATAAGTTTAAAAAAAAATTATTAAAAAATATTTCCATTGAAATCATTACACCAGTGTTTTCTGTCAGCAAAGAGATCATACATATATCACGGTGGATCTGCCATCTTGTTTCAGTCCTGTGATATTATTTTCTGATCCACTTTAAGAAAGAATCCTGCCTTTATACCTTTTCATTTATATGGGTTCTATATAGATAAAATGAATTTGCAGAACAATTTTTATTTTGGAACTGAGATTTAATTTGAATTGTGGATATATAGCACGAGTTCTAACAGTGAAAATCTGCATAATACTAACAAGGAGTTTTTTATGATTTCTAAAACATGTTGTAAAACTGTATATATTTATCCAAAATATTGCCATAATCGTTTATGGTTATCTTGTTACAAAACAATGATGTAACAAACAATGTGTCAGAACATACCTGTTGGAATTCTTAATTTAGATTGGTATTTTTGTTACTAGCCTTTTAAACAAGGATGCTAATTAAAAATACACATATCCTTGATTCTCACTCTATATATAATATCTATACATTCATCAATATCTATTTTTCAAAGTATATATTTTTGACTGAAAACCATAAACTATCAGTAGTATTGGTTAACTTTGTCTAACCTATATTATTTATGTGTCATTTATTTCAGATCAATTATGATTGACTTTCATTTTCTTCATTTCCCTCCCAAATATTAACTGTCCCATTATAAATGATAAAGATGGATTTATTTCATGATGGACCTGAGCTTGATATTGAAAGAATAGTAATTGAACAGTGTAAAAGAAAGAAAAAGAGAGAGAGAGAGAGAGAGAGAGAGAGAGAGAGAGAGAGAGAGAGAGAGAGAGAGAGAGAGAGAGAGAGAGAGAGAGAGAGAGAGAGAGAGAGAGAGAGAGAGAGGGGGGGGGGGAGAGAGAGAGAGGGGGGGGGGGGAGAGAAAGGAAAGGAAAATAAAAACAAAATCATTTGTTTCAATAATTAGAAATCTAGAAACATAATGTCATTTTGTTTTGAAAACAGTTCCAATAATTTGAATTGCATGTTGCATGTGTAAATGTTGCATGTGTATATGTGCAAGCATGATAAGCTATTCTGACAACAAAGGCAAATGTAGGGACACACAAACACTGTCACATAATTCAAGCCTTTCTGATAAGATCTTTAGAGAGACAGTCTCTGATCTGTTCTGAAACCCAGACAGATAAGACAGATTTTATTGAGACATGGAAGTGTTTGTAATTTAAATTTTTTTTTTTAATCTTTGCAATTATAGTAAAAAATCAAAAAGAATGAACATTTAAAACATCCGTACATATTATTTACGGAAATTTGGTTTTCTTACATTGATCACAGTCAAAACAAATCTGTCAGTAAAATTTGTAATTACATATTTCTGACTTCAAATTGATGTAAAAATGAACTTTCAGGATAAAATTATTTCCTGAAATTGGATTTCTGGGATTTTAAATTAGAGATAAAAATGACTAATTGGACAACAACTTGTGTTAAACATTGGCTGATTGTCTCTAAGAATGAACAAGTAAATTTCTGGTAAAAATATTTTTTTTAAGTAGATTTGTGATTTTTAAACAGAATGGAGCTCACTTTGTTTCTTACTGATGTCATTAGACATTCTAGAGCTAGTTCTGATTACATGAACATCTGTCTTTATGGACAGATTGATTCCCTATGTAATTAATGTAATATTGTACTTCTCTCTGGTCTGTAATATTATATATATGTAATTACCATTTCTTTAATGCATTAAGCTTATTACTGACTAAAATTCATGGATTACGTTTTGCAATATAATAAGCCACAAGCTTTTGACGTTATAGATTTATGTATTATCACTGCCATGGATCAGGAAATCTATTTATAGATCAACAATAAAGGCACCAGGACACGTTTCTATATCTTAACAAATAAGTCCACAATCATGTGAAATTAAATGTCATGATTACACTTCAGCTGCTGTTATTCAGTCAGTTTTGCTCCCTTGTTTGTTATAAATATTCCTTTCATTTACAAATGTTTTCAATATAAACTATGGTTAAAGATATGTTCAAGCAAATCAGGTGATTTAACACTTTCAGTATATTTCATATTTAGTGAATTCAGATGTACTCCAAACCAACAAATCTTAAATTCTTTTAGCTGTTGTGTGTTAGTGAATCTTAGTCTGTGCAATGTTTGATCTTCATCTCTCTAATGTTTGTTGCAGTTGTTCTGTGTATAGTGAATCAAGAGTCTGTGCATCGGTTGATCTTCAACACTCAAATGTTTTTTTACAGTGGACTACCGTGTAGGGCCACCTCCGACCAAGGTAGCGCGGTCCTCCAAACCAAAAGTGTTCGTAACAAATGGCCGTGACATTCCTCTACGCGGAGTTTGTCTGATCTTTACTAAGGTGGCTCCCCACGGCACTGCCATTACTGAACTTAACATTTCCAAGGTAACCAGACATTAACTAGCACCAAACATTCCACACTCCAACGAGTAGAATCAGACCTTCAAGAATATCTAATAAATATTGATGCTTGGAGGGGAAAAATGTTCAGAGAATGTCTACCCTGCAATTAGTAGAAAAAATTCTTTTAAGTGAACCAGTCAAGGCTAAAATGTCCATAAATTAATTACCTTATTTTAAATTGTAACACATTTTCTTTACTGTGTCATGGTCATAGATGGCTGGTGTGTTTAGAAAAGCTTGAATGATGTTGATATAAAATGCAAGATGTAGAGGGTAGCTTTTAGCGTGGGAAGTGCTAATTACACAGAATCAGAAAAGAAAAGGTTTAAGTTTTCATCAAATATGTCGAGAGTATCATCGACTGCTGAAAGGTAAATCATCTGTATCTGTGTGTATTTTATAAGAATACTTGGTGAAGCAATCAAATTTATTGTACAGGAGATAAACTTCACAAGGTTGGACACAGTATCAGCAGGAAAGAATGGTAGTGGCCTGCTAAATGCTGTGGAACATCTCCTGTCCAGTATCTTTATTCCTGCCCTCAAGAAGCTTAATCAGGGCTGGGGAGAGCTGAGCAGTCCCTCGGGAGCCCAAGTCAGAACCGATTTCCTCAATGCACTGGACTCCTTTGTAACCGTATTAGTTGGTAACTATGACAACTTAATCCTCGTTCCTTGTTTTTAGCGGTGGTAAATATCCAAACTACCACTTAATCTGACCAATTTTGTTATCATTGATACAATATTTTTTCAAAAAATCATTTGCTGCTTCAATTTCATCTTGTAGCTTGAAAATATGACTGTTTTAAGAAAATGGAAAAGGATAATTAGTTGTATAGATGTCAATTTGTTAAATAACAGCCACCTGAGTAGGTACAAAACTTTAGCTGAATGTATTGGAAAATTTTACCCTTCCTACTACGGTTCTACTGGTAGTAATGGTGAATCATTTCTCCTTGTAACAGGTGCCCAGGAGAGTCTGGGACAGAAGGTGACATTGAAGGAATGCGAGACGTATGACTTGTCTAAGATTCAGACCCCAGCTGATTACCAGGCAGTAGCAAACAGCTCTGAGGCCCTAGAAGGCATAGAAAACACCATGATGGTTTGGCTCAAACAGCTGGAACAGGTCCTGGCAGAGAGTGAACAGATGAGAAAGGAGGCAGATGATATTGGTCCACGTGCTGAACTTGACCACTGGAAGAAGCGGATGTCTCGTTTTAATTACCTCCTAGATCAAATCAAAGGACCCAATGTCAAGGCTGTTCTGGGTGTTCTTCATACGTCACAGTCCAAACTTATCAAGGTAAGGTCATAGGTTCATGGTCATAACCTGATGGAAAGATTGTTGACACTGAATTTATCTTCATTTAAATCAATTTGTCAGTAGATGAGGCAATTTTTTATCAACATGTTTGTTTTGTTTATCCATCAGAACTGGCAAGAGCTGGATAGGAGGATCACAGACCTGGCCAATGAGGCAAAGGATAATGTGAAGTTTCTGTACACACTGGAGAAGTTCTGTGACCCACTCTACAACAGTGACCCGGTAAGTTTCCCCCGATATTACACTTAAATACTGACAGCTATTACACGATATTACACTAAAATACTGACGGATATTACACGATATTACACTAAAATACTGACGGATATGACACGATATTACACTAAAATACTGACGGATATTACACGATATTACACTAAAATACTGACGGATATTACACGATATTACACTAAAATACTGACGGATATTACACGATATTACACTAAAATACTGACGGATATTACACGATATTACACTAAAATACTGACGGATATTACACGATATTACACTAAAATACTGACGGATATTACACGATATTACACTAAAATACTGATATTACACGATATTACACTAAAATACTGACGGATATTACACGATATTACACTAAAATACTGACGGATATTACACGATATTACACTAAAATACTGACGGATATTACACGATATTACACTAAAATACTGACGGATATTACACAAGAATGAACAATGTGATACCTTAAAATCTGCCTAGAAAAGATATTTACAAAATATGTATCTGAATAAAACACTATAAATCATAACAAATAATCAGGTACTGACATGTCTGTTGACAGGTGGGTATGCTCGAGGGAATTCCAGGATTGATCAACGCCATCCGTATGATACACTCAATCTCCCGATACTACAACACATCTGAAAGAATGACCTCGCTCTTTGTCAAGGTAACCATAAATTACATATATAGGTGCAACTGGTTATTTTCTGAATTTACTTTCTAGGATCTTTGAACCGTTCTTTTATCTAATTAGATTTATGAATTTTTACATAATATGGACATATATATTGATTTAGGCTATCTTGATCCGCAGATCCAGTTAATTAATGTGAATGTTAAGGATAGAAAATGTCAGTGTTAGAATTGTAGATGTTCTTAATCACAAAATCATTCACAAAATGTGCTTGTATACAATATTTGTAAATGAAGTGTAATATTGGACTTAGATTCTTGTTCATCAGTTGAGAATCAGCATTATGATGACTGGAAATTGATGGTTGTTTTTACAGATCACCAATCAAATGATCACGGCGTGTAAGGCCTACATCAACTGTAACAAGACAGAGACAGTTTGGACGCAGGAACAAGATGTCGTGGTCAAGAAACTCCATGATTGTATCAAACTAAATGAGGAGTATCAACGCTGCTTCCACAAGACCAAGGAAAAGCTGGAGAAGATGCCCAACGAAAGGCCGTTTGAATTCTCAGAAATGTATATATTTGGAAAGTTTGATACTTTCACTCGAAGACTGAAGAAGATTATAGAAATCTTTGACACCATTTTACTGTATTCCCACCTGTCTGAATCCAAAATCGAAGGTTAGTTGTTTATCAGGCTAACAATACATGTAGATGTAAGACAGTTTGAGAAATACTTTTACAAGTTTTAGAATGTGGTTTCTCTGTGGTTTCAGAATTTAAAAGTATAAGTGTGTTCTTGTATCTGAAACTCAGATGTATGAGTTGTACTAGTAAACAAAGCCAATTAACTTTATAAGAGACAGTGTAAAAATACAAAGGAAGAAAGCATCTGTAAAAAGTGTGGCGAGTCAATACAGGGGACTCAATGCTTATCTGTACGCACAAGTTAAATGAACTAGTATGACAACTTATGATACCTTGAGTAAAGTGACAGATGAAACTTGAAAAAATTCAAGTAAAAAGAACCTCTAAAGCAAAGCAGTCTTTTTAGCGTGAAGATTTGAAATTTCGAGTGAAGGAATGATGTAGTTAGGTACAATATACTTAACAAGGTTATTGTCGTCACTGTTTTACAGGGATAGAACAGATGGCGAACAGGTTCGTAGTCATAGTGACAGCCATGAAGAAAAAGCCATATGACTTCCTGGATCAGAGGAAGACCGAGTTTGATATGGACTATGATGAGTTCAAGAGACAAGTGGCAGAACTTCATGTGAGTTGTTGCTCTTTGTGCTGTTTCCTTATTTTTTTTTTCAGGTTTATTGGAAATATTATAAAGTCCTAATTGAGGGGAAAGAGTTCCACTTTTAACCTTGTCTTTAAATATTTTATACAGAAAGTGAAGTAGCACATATGAGTTTTTCAGAATTAGAGTTTTTTCCCAATCAAGCTGTTCATCTTTCAGGTAGACAGTGTGCAGATACAAAATATGTCTGGTAGTGCTAAAGGTTTCAGTCTGTAGATTTCCTGATTAAACATTGAAATTTCAACTTTAAAATTCTAATTCTGTAAATGCCAGAGCATTAACAACAGACTTGGATACAGTTGTATCAAAATGTTTCCACTTTATCAAGTTTACATATCATTTTTATCTTTGTAGTCTAACATTATGGGATTCATGGATGGCAAATTTGAGAAGATTTCCAATACTGCTCGCTCCATAGTTCTGCTCAGACGATTTGAGCGGTTGGAACTGCCAAACCTGGGAATTCCAGAAAAATACCACAGGATCCTGGGACACTATGGACGTGACATTGAGATGGTGTCCAAACTGTATCAGAAAAACAAAAATGACCCTCCTGTGGCCAGGGATCTGCCACCCATAGCAGGTTGTGTTACAACAAATTGCAATTTTATATAAAACTGTAGAACTCTTTGCTTATATGAGCCATGATACTTAACTTTTGATATCATTCAAACCTTCCCCACACCCTTACTACCCACTTCTTTGATTTTGCCATAATGCTTTGTGTCTTTTTCAAGCAAAGTGCCTTTTATATTTGATGTAATCATATCAATAAGTGAAAACTTAATAGCATCAGTTGTCAATGGAAAATCACAGTAATATGTTTAGACAGAAAAGCAAGATGTAAAAAGATGTGATATATTAAATTTCTCTTTATTTACTTCAGGTAAGATCGCATGGGCCAGGCAGCTGTACCGCCGAATCCTGGAGCCAATGGAGGTATTCCAAAAACAGACCAATCTCCTAGAGAGTAACGAGGCCAAGAAAATTATCAAGAACTACAACAAGTTGGCCAAGGTGCTGCTGGAGTTTGAGGTTCTGTACCATCGTGGCTGGCTTAGACAGGTACCCTTCGCTTGTGTTTGTATACATAGATACTGACTGGTAAAACTATGCCTAAAACTTACCTATTAGGACTTAATAAAGAGATAATTTGTTGGGTACATCACTGAATTGTTTAATGTATTCATGATAATTCTTCAGAGATCCTGAAATTGTATGAAGCTCAAAATTTCATAGATAATAATAGTTACTCCCTTCAATATTGATCTCAATGTAATTTTGATTCGTAATTCAATTTTTATGAAAATGGAGAAATTCATAATCATTTAAACTTTGACTAAATTATTTTCTTTTTTAAATTCTGTGGCCGAAATCTCAAGGTTGTGAACTTTAACATTTAGTAATTATCAAATTTCTGTACCAACCAACAATTCTGTTTAATGTTGGGGAAGACCTTCTATCCCTTGGCTTGCAGCATGCATAATATGATGTATACATCATTTGTTTGTTTTACAGGTGGAGGCTGCTCGCTCAGGACTCCAAGCCTCACTGCTAGTGCGTCACCCAGAAACCTCAGAATTGTATGTAAACTTTGATCCTCAAATTCTGACCATGATTCGTGAGACTGAGTGCATGGCACGTCTAGGACTAGAGATTCCATCGCTAGCTCGGACAATGCGCGCCAAACAGTCGGAGTTCAAAGAAAATTATGAGGCCCTTCAGATGATGCTACAGGAGAACCAGCGTGTTCGCAGCAAAATTCCGACAGCGTTTGAGGCGCTGATGGGGCCACACACAAGTAAAGTGGACTCAACCATTGACCCAGGCCTTAACACACTGACTTGGACCTCTCTCAATATCAAAGACTATATCAGTGAAGTATATACCGAACTTCAGGATCTTGAGTTGCTCATGGATCGTGCACATGATGTAACAGAATTCAGAATAGACGCAGTCCTCAAGGAGATGGCGACTACCAACCTATGCCAACTGCCTGAAGAGGAGCCCTGGACTGTTGACCACTTCCTTGACAACACACAAATGTTGTGTGCCAAGGGTGCACAACTCTTGCAGACCAAATCCATGGTGGTGGAAGAGGCAGCCAATGAACTAATAAACATGTTGTGTACGCTTGAAATGGAAGAGGAAGATGGTCATGAAGAAGAGGTTGCTGGCCCAGACGTAGACATGGATGGTAATGTGTTACATATATTTCCACATTTCAATATCAGCATTTTATCCATTTTTCTAATCATGCCAGTTTGTCTCAATAAATGCTTTTATGGAATGGAGTATGAAAAAATCCTACAAATTGATAATAACATCATTTCCATTGTAAATCAGTTTTTTAGATTTGGAAATCATATTCAGAAATATTTGATAACGGGTGTTTTTATGATCTCCATTTTTTGTGATTTTTTGACTCCTGAGACTTATAAATTCAGCAAGAGAACACAGATGATTGATTTTTGTGACAAGTCTGAAGGAGCCTTTGTAGAGATATATATCTGTTCAGTTTTTATATTATTGTTGTCAAGATGAGAGAGGAAGTCCAAAAGGAAGTCCAACCGCTTCTGCCCGGGATCGCTCGGCTAGCAGACGGTCACGTCCTGTATCATCCAAGGCCAACGCTGTGGCGAAAAAGAAACGAGAAATGAGGGAAAGTATTGAGGAGGCAGCTAATGAGTTACTGGCTCATTTCAACCATCGTAACCAAGATGCCTTGTTAAAGGTGACACGAAACACCCTGGAGTCACTCAGGAAGAGGATCACATCTTCCTCCATGGTTCACTACTTAGGTAAGAAAAAACAAAACATGATACAAATCTGATATTAAAATGTGTGACTTATTGTAACTGATATTCAGGATTTATCAACATGTTCTCAGAGTTACTGAAGGGCCTCAGTTTTGTTTGATGTATTTTTCATTTGAACTAATAAACATATGAAATAAAATTACAAATCTTCTTCAGGTGAATCCAACAGTGCCAAGGGAGATAAAAAAGACAGTCGACCATTTTTCAAGACGTTTGCTACTCTGGCCATTCCTAACATTGTAATGCAGCCAGCCTTGGACGAGGTGCAGCAGGCAGTCAACAAGGCTGCACAAAAGATCATCCTCGTCTCCAAAGGTGTTGCCAAATGGAGTGAGGAGAGGAAACGTGTCACTAAACCACAGCTGGTCAGATCAGGGTCGGCGAGTCGTCGTAACAGTATAGTGAGTAACGCTGCATCAGAGGTATCACACTCCGCTAAGAAAGGTGAGGAGGAAGTTCAGGCAGCGCCAAGCTACGTCATACAACAACAAGTCAAGAATTACTACAAGGCTGTGTCAGAGAACAAAGAAGTGTCCAAACTGGTATCTCTCCTCTCCACCGCCATCAACTCCAACAAGAAGGTAGGAAGATGTTTATTGCAAAAAATGAAATTGGATAATCTTGACCTAGTTTCATTTTCAGCTGGAAAGTACATATAAATCATTTTCAGCTGGAAAGTACATATAAATCATTTTCAGCTGGAAAGTACATATAAATCATTTTCAGCTGGAAAGTACATATAAATCATTTTCAGCTGGAAAGTACATATAAATCATTTTCAGCTGGAAAGTACATATAAATCATTTTCAGCTGGAAAGTACATATAAATCATTTTCAGCTGGAAAGTACATATAAATCATTTTCAAATCTTTGTTGTCAGATTTTAGTTTTTGAATTATTAAATTATTAAAAACATGCACATTGTCTTAAAGAAATCACTTTCATTGACATAAAAAAATCTACTTCTTTTATCTGAATCCCATATGAATCAGTAATGTTAGGAAAACAAAAATTAAATTCACTCTTGAAAAGCTTTAAATAAAAATGTTAAAACTTAACTTAATGATCCTTATTGAAGACCAATTGTGATTAAGCTAGAAATGCTAGTTGAACAATATAGTATGTGTTAAAGATACATTTTCTGTATTTGTGTGGTGACTTTATGCTATTATGTTACAGGAAGTGACAACTGCTCTGGACAAGTTTGCTGAATACCACCCAATCTGGGAGGTAGACCGTGATGAGGACCTAGTCGAATTCACCAAGGAGAAACGCAGTCTGTCAGAGTATGAAGCCAAGATCAAACATTACGAGGAACAGGAGGTGAAGATTGCTAATCTCCCCGAGTACTATGATGTGGGACCAATAGCCCTGTACACAGGTATGCCATATGATATATAATACCCGGTAGTTATATCTGTAAATGAAATTTAAGGTTAGGTGCTACACTGTAAACGTAATCTTCTTTACTGAAGAGTTCCAGAAATAAATGGAATGGTATGTAAAAAGACATTTGTTACACTGTATAATGATAGAAGAAAAGTTTAGAGTGCTTCTAGATCTCATATATCCTTAATATTTATCATCACGAGGTACAACCTCTGGTGTAGATTCGAGGTGTGTGGAAACCTTGTTATTCATAGATATGGTGATTGTTTTACAGAGAACTTGAAACTAGGCCTGACTACAGAGACAAAAGCATGGCGACTACACTATGGAAAGGCATGTAACACCAAGTACATGACTGAGATGGAAGAAATCTTCAACTTCATGGAAGACATGGCTAAGCGGTTGGCACGGCCTCTCAAGGATCTGGATGATATCAGATTTACCATGGCTGCCCTCAAAGACATCCGTGAAAACGAGATAAGGATTGACATGAGCATTGCACCTATAGAGGTAGGTCTTATGAAGGTCAAAGGTCAACTGTAACAATGTGATTGAATAAGAAATATGATAGATAAGTACGTTTGTTTAGATGTGTCTAAGGTAGCCTGATGTATGTATTAATTACGTTTGTTTAGATGTGTCTAAGGTAGCCTGATGTATGTATTAAGTACGTTTGTTTAGATGTGTCTAAGGTAGCCTGATGTATGTATTAATTACGTTTGTTTAGATGTGTCTAAGGTAGCCTGATGTATGTATTAATGTGTCTACCTGATGTATGTATTAATTAAGTTTGTTTATGTGTCTAAGGTAGCCTGATATATGTATTAAGTACGTTTTTAGATGTTCTAGGTATGTGTATGTATTAATTACTTTGTTTAATGTGTAGCCTGATGTATGTATTAATTACGTTTGTTTAGATGTGTCTAAGGTAGCCTGATGTATGTATTAATTACGTTTGTTTAGATGTGTCTAAGGTAAGGTAGCCTGATGTATGTATTAAGTACGTTTGTTTAGATGTGTCTAAGGTAGCCTGATGTATGTATTAATTACGTTTGTTTAGATGTGTCTAAGGTAGCCTGATGTATGTATTAATTACGTTTGTTTAGATGTGTCTAAGGTAGCCTGATGTATGTATTAATTACGTTTGTTTAGATGTGTCTAAGGTAGCCTGATGTATGTATTAATTACGTTTGTTTAGATGTGTCTAAGGTAGCCTGATGTATGTATTAATTACGTTTGTTTAGATGTGTCTAAGGTAGCCTGATGTATGTGTTGTAGATATACATGTAATAGTATTGAAAATAGTTAAGAGTTTATTGATTTGATTTTAAAGTGATAAAATATGACACAGCTTTTTGAATAACTTTATTGAAGAACTTTTAGTGTTAACTAGCAATGAAACATTCATATTTGTGACTTTTAATGATAGTTTCAAAATAGCACAAAATCACTTAATATAACTTCCTGTCCATTGCCTTTGTACCATAGACTGACTGATGATCTGTGTCATTTTAGATTTCCACCTAACACCAGACATGATTCTGCGTTTGATTTCAGGAATCCTATGCCATGCTGATCAAACATGAGTTGCCAGTGAATAAGGAGGAGATGGAACGCTGTGATACGCTGCGATATTCGTGGGAAAAACTTCAGGTTCAACAGTCAGAGATGCAGACACAGCTACTGGCTGTACAGCCTGATTTCAAGTCGGACCTTATCGAAAATGTCAAAGAGTTCAAAACGGACTGTGATCACTTCTTTGTGGATTATGATGATGTAAGCATTAAGGTTGAAAGATTTCACACAAATGTCATATGTTAAATTCTGATCTGGTTTGAACAGATTTGGATGGTGGTGATATTAAAGATTTCTTTACTTTTCATTATAAATAAGGAAAAAGTAATGGACTGCATCTATCACTCGCCATTAAGTATGAAAAATATTGACCTTTAAATGGCCCAATGTTATAATGAAAAATATTTTCCTTCAGAATGGCCCTATGGTGACTGGGGTGGCCCCACGTGAGGCCTCCGACAGACTGGTGATATTCCAGAATACATTTGACATCCTGTATAAGAAGTTTGTCACTTACACTGGTGGAGAAGGCCTGTTTGGACTTCCAGTCTCTGAATCTCCAACACTACTCAAGATCAAAAAGGAGCTTAATCTCCTTCAGAAGCTGTACGGTCTCTACAACAATGTGCTGGAGACTGTACATGGCTACTACGACATTCTCTGGACAGACATTAACATCGAAAAGATCAACAATGAACTGATTGAGTTCCAGAACAAGTGAGTTTCCTAACTAGAGATTGGTTTTATACTTCTATACAGATCTGAGCTTAGGCAGATATGGGTCTTATTTTAATTGTTTATTCATTTCCTTCTAATTGAATGAATTAAATTAATTAAAATTGTCTATTAGTGTTGGACTGGAAATTGGGAGTTCAAATCTGTAGATGAGATATTGTATGCTGGTATAAGTCCACGAATAGCAGCTTTAAAAAAATTTCACTTTTCATGACACTTAATAACATTTTTGTGTAGAACCTGACATTCCTAGAAATATACTGCAAGTTCTTTATAATGAAGATTTTGTAAGTTTGTGATCTATGATATATGTGTTACCAATGTTACAGATGTCGTAAGCTGCCAAGAGCTCTTAAGGACTGGCCAGCTTTTGAGGATCTGAAAAAGACAATTGATGACTTCAATGAGATGGTACCTCTACTAGAGCTGATGACCAACAAGGCCATGAAACCACGTCATTGGCAACGTATGTCTGACGTTACTGGGCACGTGTTTGATGTAGAGGGAGATAACTTCATGCTCAAGAACATTCTGGAAGCTCCACTCTTGCAGTTTAAGGAAGAAATTGAGGTATGCATTATAGCTATTGTCTGGTAATTAGCCAACCCCTGTGTATTACTGTAAAGTATGATGTTAAATCATTTGTCCTTTGATAAGCCCATCCCTTCAGTCTAAGCCAGTTGTTAAGGTTTTAGCTCTAAGGCTGTGAGGGATAGGTACACATGTACTAAATAGATTAAAGCTAAAGTGAAGCAGGATCTAGATTAGTCCTTGTATTGATACCTTCCAAAACTCTAGAGTAAGATGTCTGTCAGTAAATACACATCATGATAAAAAGTTTTATTCTCTGTGGTTTAGGCTCTACATCTGATAACAATTTTTTTCTAGGACATTTGTATCTCAGCTGTAAAGGAGAAGGACATCGAAGCCAAACTCAAACAAGTCATCAATGACTGGAATAATCAAGAATTTACATTTGGACAGTTTAAGACAAGGGGTGAACTTCTGCTGCGTGGTGATACTACTGGCGAGGTTGTCTCCCTTATGGAAGACTCTCTTATGGTACTCAGCTCTTTAATGAGTAACAGGTATGCTGGAACAGTTTTGCCTAAATTCTGATTGGTTAGTCTTACTGATGAACAGGTTTTTGATCATCACAATGATGCTGGAAAATGATAAAAAATATGTGCATGATTAGTTAAGCAGCCTGTAGGATTTGGTGCCAAATTCATTAGACTTGAAAAAATTCCAGTTAACTATTATAAATGTTCTATACACCTACTAGCATATTAGATTATTTTCAATTGGTTTAAAGTACATATAAATAGATTTATACATCAATTTGGCTTAATTGTTAATTGGTATTAATTTATTCAAAATATTAATGTTTGACCTTGTTGTGACCTTGTAGGTACAATGTGCCATTTAAGAAGCAGATCCAGTTGTGGGTACAAAACCTGACAAACTCATCTGAGATCATTGAGAACTGGATGACAGTACAGAACTTGTGGGTATACCTAGAGGCTGTGTTTGTGGGTGGTGACATTGCCAAACAGCTGCCAAAGGTAGGTCCATTGTTACAATATAACAACTAATGCACTATTTGTTATGAGGACAATTTGTTATAAGGACAATTTGTTATGATAGTTATGATGGCAAGACCATTTAGGATTAATGAGAGCAACTATTGTGTATAATGTTTTTCTGTTTATAACTGAGGGATGTTTTACTGTCTATAAATGAGGGATGTTTTACTTGAATTATATTTTGTCAATCTCCTCTCTAAATAGGAAGCTAAGAGATTCAGCAACATTGACAAATCTTGGATCAAGATAATGACTCGAGCCCATGAGACACCCAATGTGGTCCAGTGTTGTGTTGGTGACGAGACTCTCATGCAGCTTCTCCCTCATCTACTGGAGCAGCTTGAGCTTTGCCAGAAATCTCTTACTGGGTAAGTCTGGTCTTACTGGGTAAGTCTGGTCTTACTGGGTTAGTCTGGTCTTACTGGGTTAGTATGATTGGGGAATTCTAGCTTTGTTAAAATCAGTTTTACTGGGTAAATGTGACTAGGTATCATTTGTTATGTCTGTCAGAAATATCCTGGTGCATGTGATTGGGGAACACTAGCTCTGTCAGAAATGTCTTAAATCTTAAATAGGAAATGTCAGAAATTTTATTGGTGTATAATTCTCATACGATAAACATGCTTAGTATCTAAGTGATTTGACTGTGAAATGATATGATAGCTCTTTGTCTGTGTCCTGTTTTGATCCTGATGAATGAGTTGTATACAGCGTAGTGTTCTTCCTTGTGATAAGAAAACCAGATGTAATACCCTGGATTTATTTTTACAGATATCTTGAGAAGAAGCGTCTGTTGTTCCCGAGATTTTTCTTTGTGTCGGATCCCGCCCTGCTTGAGATCCTGGGACAGGCCAGTGACCCCCACACTATACAGGCTCACCTTCTGTCAGTGTTTGACAACATCAAGTCTGTCAAGTTCCATGAGAAGTTCTATGACATCATTCTCTCTATTTTCTCCTCGGAGGGAGAAACCATTGATGTAAGTGTTAATCACGTGATAGTATTAAACACATTTAGATGTTGATACAGTACAGGCGTACATTCCTGGATATCTGATATAATGGCTATTGTTTGTTTGTATTTATGATATAATGGCTATTGTTTCTTTGTATTTATGATATAATGGCTATTGTTTGTTTGTATTTGTTAATGTATTGTTTGTTTGTATTTATGATATAATGGCTATTGTTTGTTTGTATTTATGATATAATGGCTATTGTTTGTTTATTTGTTTGTATTAATGATAGGAATGTTAGTACACAATACAGATTCTTATCTGGTATAGTGGTTAGGAAGCATAGGAAATTATCACTTTATTATAATCAAATTTTGGAAAAAGAAATGGATTGACACTGATATTATCAAAAAAACAAACGAAAAGGAGAAACAAAAGTGACAGAAAATTGAAGAGAAACAACAATAGGAAGTTAATTTATACGCTTTGTTCAGACATAAGATTTGATTTAACCTTTGACCTTGTTCAGACATAAGATTTGATTTAACCTTTGACCTTGTTCAGACATAAGATTTGATTTAATCTTTGACCTGTGTGTTTAACAACTTTTCTGTTCTTCTACCCGTCACAGCTGGAAAAACATGTAAAAGCAGAAGGTAATGTAGAAGTATGGCTGATGAATCTGATGATGATGGCACAGAGGTCACTCCATGGTGTCATCAGAACAGCTGCCATTGCTATCCAGGACAACAACTTCCAGCTCCTCGAGTTCCTGGATATGTTTCCAGCACAGGTAACTAGATACTTCTACACAACAAAATGATCTCCTCATGTGTCAAACAACTGAGAATTGTCTGTTTAGTGATTAAACACTTCCTTGTTTACAGAAACTAAAAAAGCTTTGAAAGCATCAGTAGAGAAAATGTATGCAAAACTAAAAAATTCAGAAAAATAAAAAGATGAAAAATCAAGTCCAATAAAAATCATTAAAAACGTTGATCATCCTTGTGATAGAAAAAGTGATCTGATACAGTAGTCTTGTTTTGTGGTGTAGGTGGGACTCCTGGGACTGCAGATGATCTGGACACGAGACTCCACAGATGCTCTCACACATGCACGCTATGATCGTAAGATCATGCAGCAAACAAACCAAGCTTTCCTTGATCTTCTGAACACACTTATTGACCAGACAACTCACGACCTGACCAAGGTGGAGAGGACAAAGTTTGAGACTCTGATCACCATCCATGTCCATCAAAAGGACATCTTTGACGACATGGTATGTTGTGTCCAGTACAGCAGCACTATTTCAGTCAAGATTTAGAAGCAAATATGAAGTGGTTGTACATATATTTTGTTTCTGCAATGCTCATAGAGTAAATATAGTCATAGACTGAAAAGTGTGTAAAACAAACAGTTTCTGGTAAGACAAAGCAAAACATTCCACTTTGAAATATTAAATGTTATATTGCTAATCTGTGAGTTTTTCTTTATGTTTCCAGGTGCGTTTGCACATCAAATCTCCTGCTGACTTTGAGTGGATGAAACAGTCACGTTTCTACTTCATTGAAGACCAGGATCGCTGTCTCATCTCTATCACAGATGTAGACTTCATCTACCAGAATGAATTCCTCGGTTGTACAGAACGTCTTGTCATCACTCCTCTCACTGACAGGTAAGAACCTGTTATCTGTCTGGTGACTCAGCACACACATATCCGATCGTAAAAATTATCTAAAATATAAAATAGTAAAATATCTGACATTTGTTTAAGTCATAAGGCTATAATAACTGACAATGATAAATGACTTTATATCAATAGGTGCTACATCACCCTCGCCCAGGCTTTGGGTATGTCTATGGGTGGAGCTCCAGCTGGACCTGCCGGAACTGGCAAAACAGAGACCACCAAGGACATGGGGCGATGTCTTGGAAAATATGTTGTTGTCTTCAACTGCTCTGATCAGATGGACTTCCGTGGTCTGGGCCGTATCTACAAAGGTCAGTTGTTAAAGAGTGCAAACTCAGGCGTTGATGTCATTTATATGTAATATATTGCTGTAATTTGATTGTATAACTTCACTAGTATAATATTTGTATCTCTGACAAAAGTTCCTGTATCATTGGAAATGCTCCACCTCAATAACTTTTATTGCTTTGCTGCTTTGATTAATCCCAGACCTCAATACAGAGCACATGTATAAATTGTGTTATATACTGACTTGTATGTTGAAAATTTGCTGGTCAAGCCATGTATTACCTCAAGCAGTTTTAACCACAGCTTTTTAATCTTTTGTTTTTTTCTCTTGTCTTGCAGGGTTGGCACAGTCAGGATCCTGGGGATGTTTTGATGAGTTCAATCGTATTGAACTTCCTGTACTGTCTGTTGCTGCTCAACAGATTGCCATTGTGCTCTCTGCAAAGAAAGAACGAAAGAAGAATTTCATCTTCACTGACGGAGACAATGTAGCAATGAACCCTGAATTTGGAATCTTCTTGACAATGGTGGGTAGTTGAATTTGTCTTGATTGAAAAAAAAAATTTGATGTTAGTTTTTCAATTAGGATAGGGAAAATTTAATGCATAACATCTGATTACATGCATTAACATACATTTTGATGAAAAAGTGTTGACATTTGGTGTCAGTGTATACTATCATACTGTAATTGTCCACCTTGGTACAACAATTACCATCGTATAGTGACCATGCATTAGTGTCCAGAAGTTACCTATATATTTTATATGTAGATGATGGATTAACTTGGTGTGTGATTTTACAGAACCCTGGTTATGCTGGTCGGCAGGAACTGCCCGAAAATCTGAAGATCAACTTCCGTACAGTCGCCATGATGGTTCCAGACCGACAGATCATTATCCGTGTGAAACTTGCCAGTGTTGGTTTCATAGAAAACATTGTCTTGGCTCGTAAGTTCTTTACTCTCTACAAACTTTGTGAGGAGCAGCTTACTAAACAGGTCCACTATGACTTTGGTCTACGAAACATCTTGTCCTGTCTCAGAACACTGGGAACTGTGAAGCGTGCAAACCCTCATGACCCAGAGTCGACCTGTGTGATGCGTGTGCTACGTGACATGAACTTATCCAAGCTGGTGGATCAGGATGAACCCTTGTTCTTATCCCTCATTGACGATCTGTTCCCTGGTGTCACTCTCGACAAAGGAGGCTACCCAGAATTGGAAGGTGCTATTGACAGACAAATAGAGGAAGCAAAACTCGTCAAACATCCATCATGGAGGCTGAAATTGATTCAGGTTTGTTAAATGTATATTTCTGAAGATATCCAATTTATCAAAAATAGTCAAGTCTGAATCATTTAAAAGTAATCACTGGATGCTAATATATATGTATTTGATTCAGCTGTTTGAGACCCAACGTGTACGTCATGGAATGATGACCTTAGGACCTAGTGGAACAGGGAAGACCTGCTGTATTCATACTCTGATGAAGGCCATGACAGAATGTGGGGAACCCCACAAAGAGATGAGAATGAACCCCAAGGCCATCACTGCACCTCAGATGTTTGGGCGTCTGGATGTCGCTACCAACGATTGGACTGACGGCATATTCTCCACACTCTGGCGACGTACTCTGAGGACTAAAAAAGGTAACCCAGTGAATGACTGTAATCACAAACATTAGACTTTTTGTAAACTTATGTATGTTAAGTTTAAATTTTGACCACCTCTTCATCAAAGGACAGGCTCATTAGATGTTTAAAAGTTCAATTCCAGTAGTAGTATGAATATAGTGAAGGTTGTGATGTATAATACTATATCAAGTTCAGCTCTCTGAGCCAACCACATAATGATCATCCTCTGATTGTGTTAAACACAGAATAACAATTTTTTCATGATCTTAATCATTGACATCAGTGTCCAGTATAACATACATTAAAACTTTTCGACATCAGGAGATCACGTATGGCTGGTTTTGGATGGTCCTGTCGATGCTATATGGATTGAGAACTTGAACTCTGTACTTGATGACAATAAGACCTTGACCTTGGCAAACGGTGACCGTATCCAGATGGCACCGACTTGTAAGATCATCTTTGAGCCCCACAACATTGACAATGCATCACCTGCTACTGTCTCCAGGAACGGTATGGTGTTCATGAGTAGCTCGGGTCTGGACTGGAGCCCTATTCTACAGGTAAATACTGACAGTGTTTAGATATTAACATCCAGTAAATTCTGAAGCATTAATCTTCTAAAGTCTACTTCATGGAAAACAGTTTAATTTCATAGTATTGTTAATCTTTTTGAAAATGTAATTATCATGACATCAAAGAATTTTTTGTTCCTTTTTTGTAAATCCTTGCAATTAATCTTCCAAGATTTTAAACTTTAAAAGAATGCATTGCCAACTTTGATAGATGTTTTTTGAGAAAAGAACAATTAATTAATTACCTTTGCTTTGACCTTGACAGGGCTGGCTAAACAACCGCTCTCTGGCCGAGCAGGGCATCATCATGGACCTGTTTGAGAGAAGCTTTAAACAGCTGTACCAGTACAGTGTACAGAACTTTGAATTCAAGATGGATGTGTTGGAGGCCTTTGTCATTACACAGGTGAGTCATTTGTCATTACACAGGTGAGTCATTTTTCATTACACAGGTGAGTCATTTGTCATTACACAGGTGAGTCATTTGTCATTACAACGGTGAGTCATTTGTCATTACACAGGTGAGTCATTTGTCATTACACAGGTGAGACATTTGTCATTACACAGGTGAGTCATTTGTCATTACACAGGTGAGACATTTGTCATTACACAGGTGAGACATTTGTTATCTTGATGATGGTCTTGCAGACTTTATCATCAATATTTTAAATTATCCATTTATCTCAGATTTTGATTAAGATTGGAAATTAAAACAAATGTGGTAAAGCATTTATGTCAAGCAAATTTCAATCTCTAGGCAACCAAAATCTTGACTGGTTTGATCCCGGTGAAGGATGACAAAGACAGCGGTCAGATCACTGCTGCCCACTATGAACGTCTGTACATATTCACGTTAATGTGGAGCATCGGAGCCTTCCTCGAGTTAGATGATCGTGCCAAGCTGGAGGAGTATATCCGCAACAATGATGAAATCAAACTGGACCTGCCCCCCTGCAGACATGATTCAGACGAGTCCATGTTTGACTACTTTGTCAACAATGAAGGTAAGTAACACATAACACCCCAAACTCTACTTAAATAGGAAAAAAATGATTCACATGACATTTGTCAATTTATCTTGACTGAAATAAAAAAAAATCTTTGATGTGTCCTGTTTCTAAAAGAACGTTTGTAATGGAATTACCATTAATAAGTGTTTGATATCACATGGACAATCAGTTATAATAAAGAAAGTCTCAATTAAGGTAACATGTAGCTGCTGCTGAAAAAAGTCCACAAAATGAAGCAGCCTTAGCTGAGTAGTCTTGCAGGTGCTTGGTGATTGCAAATCAGGCTGACGTTGTAATACCTGCAGGTTACTCTCTATATTTCTATATATAGACTGATGTTATCATTCAGGGCTACTTCCAGAAATCATACACAAATTGAGATTATTTCATAAAAGCGTACAAAATTTGTAAGTTTATTAGAGGCAACTTACAGGTTAGGTCATTTTGATAAAATTCGCAGAATTTTGTGTATGAAAAAATGCTGTAATTGTTATCAAAATTTCAGAATTCTCAGTCTAAGCTAATAATCATTCTCTGTGACCAATAGACATATGTTATTGTAAATTACAAACGTTTTTGACCAAAGGTCAGTGGGAACATTGGGAGAAAAAGGTGCAAACATATGACTACCCAGCTGATTCCACACCGGAGTACAGCAGTATCCTTGTCCCAAATGTGGACAATGTACGGACGGAGTACCTCATCAGTATCATCGCTAAACAAGACAAGGCCGTGCTTCTCATTGGAGAGCAGGGTACTGCCAAGACAGTCATGATAAACGGCTTCATGAGTCATTACAATCCTGAGTACCATCTGGCTCAGTCCCTCAACTTCTCCTCAGCCACCACACCCTACATGTTCCAGGTATGAGCCAGATTTCAGTGAGGGTTGTGTTTGTCATAATTTAATGTTTAGTTTCAATCCTGTGAGCTAAAAAGTTAAACTATGAGCCTTTGATTATACAAACCAGTAGTTTGTGTTCAGGCATTTATTTATTTGTTTTTGTTTGTAATCTTTTTCCCATTTTATTTTATTTCATGTCTGGTTAATTCTTACTGCATTAATCTATTCATGATATATATTGCATTGGAAAAAAATTTAAATATGAAAAAAAAAAAATTAAAAAACAGAAATTTGACATTTTTCTTCGGTATACACAGTCTTTATATACAAAGAAATTATGCATAATTATGTAAAAGCATCATAAGCATTTTTTCTATCAATACAGAACAGAGTTGCATAGTGCACAAACATTTCTGCATCTTTCATGTGATTAAGGTTTTTTCTGACCATGGTCATTTTGTTTCTCTATTCAAGCGAACCATTGAGAGCTACGTTGAGAAGAGGGTCGGTTCCACCTACGGCCCAACAGCTGGAAAGAAGATGACCGTCTTTATTGACGACATTAACATGCCCACAATCAATGAATGGGGAGACCAGGTTGGTAACGAGATTGTCCGACAACTCTTCGAAATGAAAGGATTCTACAACCTGGAGAAACCTGGTGACTTCACCAACATTGTGGATGTACAGGTGAGTTAAGTCCCTTCATAGAGAAATCTTCTATTCATCAGTCCATCAAACTTACATACATGTTTTACATATAAATAACTTTACATTGAATTAGATATTTTCCAATTTGTAATTATTGTGCTGTTTTATAATGTTAAGGTGATAAATCACACAAATTATATTTCATAATGTAAGATTTTTTTAGATAGTATTTTGTCTTTACAAAACTTACAAAACATGCAGTCCTTTAATATGGCATAATTTAATTTTTTTGAATCTGTGATTCTTGTTAAAAAATCCATACAATTCATTTTTTGTATCTTTTTTTTTTGTTTGCCTTGCCAATTTTGTTTTAACTTTTTATCTGAAATCACCAGGAATAAGTTTGCTTTTCTACTGCTTTTTGTCACAACATATTTATAAAGATAAAGTTTTCTCTTTGTGTGGAGCGAATGGTTACAGGTGTATTGAGAAGATATCTAATACTGTAAGTCATAAACGGAAGGATTTTTTTTGTCCTTTTGTAGTTCATGGCTGCCATGATCCAGCCTGGAGGAGGTCGTAATGACATTCCCCAGCGTCTAAAGCGACAGTTTGTCATCATCAACTGTACTCTGCCCTCCAACTCGTCCATCGACAAAATCTTCAGTGTTATTGGCTGTGGCCATTATGTGTCTGAACGAGGCTTTAGTGAACCTGTCCGTGACATCGTGAAAAAACTGGTGCCCATCACCCGTCGCCTGTGGCAACTCACAAAGGTAAGAAACACATCTTCAATCTGTTACATGATAGAATATCACAATCAAAATGAATGTATTTATCAGTTACATGTTTATCAGTTTGTAATGTATTGAAATGTTTAGTTATTTATATATATCTATATTCGTATTGCCTTTTGTCTTTTAGAGTTGACTTATACTGAGTAAAGCATGTACCAGTAAAGGCAATGTTAAATGCTATGATAGGAAGTTTGAATAACTACTTTGAAATTCACTAGAAACTGAAATTAAAATTTTTTTTTCACTCAGATTAAGATGTTACCTACACCAGCTAAGTTCCATTACATCTTCAACTTGAGAGATTTGTCAAGGATCTGGCAGGGAATGATCAACACCATTGATCAGGTGATTAAGACCCCCGAGACTGTCCTTCATCTGTGGAAACATGAATGCTGTCGTGTCATTGCTGACAGGTAAACAATTGCATCACAATTCACTTTTTTATTGCAGTTAATGATTGATTATGTTTTAAAGAAATTTACTCTCAGACTGAACATGAAAAACACAACTTTGAAGATTGTGTATTTAATAATGATGTTAGAGGAATCTTGTTTAAGATAATTTAAGATTTGAAATGTTAAGTATTGTGCCATAGATAAGAACGTAGGTAGGGCATTTTGAAAATGAGCTAAACTTGATTCTCTTGACAGTGACAGAAATTTGTGTTTATTTTCAAAAGTGTTTCACTTAATGATTGAAAGAAGTAGAATTATTAATCCTAGTAGGATTTAAAGAAATGAAGATTTTACTGACAGATATAGCACATACTGGTTACCAATATCTTATGCTCTTCAATACTTGGTAACCTTTTTATATATTACATAGTTATTTACTCTCATGAGCATGTATCAATTGTTACGTCATTCATTGTAAGAGAATAAAGTCATGAATGTGTGAGAAAACACCATACCAGGGTTATTTTCTCACACAAACTAAGGACATAACAATTTATGTCTGCTCACGAGAGCAGATAACTCAGCATTATGAAAACATAAAAGTTATACTGTGACTGTATGTCCTCTGATTAGCCCATACCTAGTATTAAACCTTTTCCTGTTTTGATTTTAGTAACAGGTCCAGTGTGTATTTTCCTTTCTAGAACTATGTTGTTGTTCATAAATTCAAATTTTAAAGTGGTTTTGTCCTTGTGCCTTTCCCTGTAAGTGTGATATTGAACAATGGATTTCTCTGTCCTAATTTAGTAAGAATAATTTTCATATGCCCTTTAGAATCTAACAAAGGCGACAGAACCAGTGTAAAAACAGAAAAAAATTCTGGAGCTGAAGAAATGAACAATGTTGCAAATTTTCTTTCGAATTTAAGTAAATAAAAAAAAGCCAGCATTAAAAGGCAAGCAAATGTTTAATAGAATTTACATTACTTAGTTACCTCTGGTGAGAATTGTTATTGAAATTTGTATGGGCTTATCAAAGGTAAAATGCAGTATTTGTTGATAATTTCATTGTAAATCTTTTGAATATCTTGTTATCTGAAAATATGTCTACTTGAATAATGATATTGCTATTCTATGTAATGGGACTTTTGCCTGTTTTGGTTTTGCCTTCATTTGCCCTTTGAGAAAAGAATTGTTCTAAACGGCAGCACGGTGAAAATCAGCAGCTCAAAATGTTGTCATTGCTGTTCATATGTACCAAGGTATATTGGTCATGTGACGTTCTTAATATGTACCAAGGTATATTGGTCATGTGACGTTCTTAATATGTACCAAGGAATATTGGTCATGTGACGTTCTCAATATGTACCAAGGTATATTGGTCATGTGACATTCTTAATATGTACCAAGGTATATTGGTCATGTGACGTTCTTAATATGTACCAAGGTATATTGGTCATGTGACATTCTTAATTGTTTTTAAATACTTGGTCTCCATTTCTTATCATTCTTATGGTACAGCTATATGTGTGACATGCTTGTTTGTATTTGAATGGATTAGTTTTTCCTGGTTATATGGCAGAAGACTGTTCCTGTTAGAGTTGGTTCAAAGTTTTGTCATATTTAGTACAAAATGTTGTTGTATTCGGTCCAAATTATTGTTTCTCTTAACCATTGTTGTAGTTTGTCTATTAGTTGAAGATGGTTTGTTGTGTGGATGAAATTAGTCTGTTTCTGTCACATGTGTTGTAGTAGTGGCTACCTGACCTGTCCAATCATGTATCCCAAGTCCTATATCAAATAGATAATCTGTAAACAAAGATCACATTCAGGAAGCCATTTCACAAGGTCACTGCAGTTCATTGCTTCCCAATCCTTCCTTTTGTGGAAGAATTAGGTCAGATTTTGACCTTAATTTTAAAGGTCAATGTTCAATATTTTGGAGTATTCATTCTCTAATTAATTAATTCAAAAGCTAACAAGTAATGTGTTTCTCACAAATCAAATGAGTGTAGAAACTGCAGTGAGAGATTTTGAATGTGGCCTATTCATACAGGTGGTCTTTTGATAAAGGTTTTGTCAGACATACTGGATATCACATCTATAACATAGTGTGTTGATGTCTAGTGACAGGTAATTGATCAACTGTTGTAACATTGTATTCTGTTCCATGTAGTGGTCAATGTGTCTAGCCAGTTCCACATCTTACCCAGGCATTGGACGACACTGTTGCTCCTGTCTGTTCCACATCTTACCCAATCATTGGGGGACACTGTTGCTCCTGTCTGTTCCACATCTTATCCAATCATTGGGCGACACTGTTGCTCCTGTCTGTTCCACATCTTACCCAATCATTGGGCGACACTGTTGCTCCTGTCTGTTCCACATCTTACCCAATCATTGGGCGACACTGTTGCTCCTGTCTGTTCCACATCTTACCCAATCATTGGGCGACACTATTGCTCCTGTCTGTTCCACATCTTACCCAATCATTGGGCGACACTGTTGCTCCTGTCTGTTCCACATCTTACCCAATCATTGAACGACACTGTTGCTCCTTTCTGTTCCACATCTTACCCAATCATTGGGCGACACTGTTGCTCCTTTCTGTTCCACATCTTACCCAATCATTGGACGACACTGTTGCTCCTGTTTGCATGCTTCTGATGTACACAGATTACAAGGATCAATCATTCTTGCCATGTCATTTCTTTGAAACTCTGCATGAAAAACTCAGATGAAATTGTAAATTTAAACTCACCATACTAGATCTAGTATATCCTTACTACATCATTTTTTTCACTGGTTTGGTTAGAAATGAATTGGTAAATTGGGAAGATATTTTCAGAAGCAAATTGCAAACTTTGGGAAATTTGGCCTAAATATGAAATGATATCATTTGAGAATGGGCCCAAATACTGGCTCCAAGAAAACCTCATAAAAGTCAATGTAATTATTTTTTATGTTGTTACATTATGTCAATATATCAGGTGTAAGAGTCTTAGTGACAAAGTGTTAGCAATAGATCAATTACATGTTATTCTGTAAAAGGTGAAAAGAAGCAAGAGTTTCAAAGATCATGTTGACGCTTTTTGAGAATGTAGCATGTGATTGGTCCATTAATATTATACGTTAATGCTCTGAGTTTTGTTTAATGTGTGTTTGTGTGGAGTGGCATGTTAACTATAATCAAATCTTGAAACTGTCTATCACAAATGATTTAGACAAACTATATTGTTTGATGCTGCAGCTGACACCATGTTTTCTCTGTGCACACTTCAGTTTCCCACACAAAGGCTACAGACACACATTATAGATAGATATATAGAATGCACCATGTTTTCTCTGTGCACACTTCAGTTTCCCACACAAAGGCTACAGACACACATTATAGATAGATATATAGAATGCACCATGTTTTCTCTGTGCACACTTCAGTTTTCCACACAAAAGCTATAGACACACATTATAGATAGATATACAGAATGCACCATGTTTTCTCTGTGCACACACTCCTAGTTGTAGAGACCTGTTTTAGATGTCTATAGCATGGCTTGTTGGTGTCTTGTTCAGGATTCTAGTGGGATGGTTGGTAGAAATTTGTAGCTCTAGTCTACATAGCTACACAGACATGCATGGGTCTGTCTTCCTTCATTAAAATCCTAAAAACTAAAACTAAATATACTTGATACCTTATTGTTATATCAGAAGAGTCCATTTTTCCATTAACAGTTTAGGTATAAGTTATTCTGCAATGAATATTCAGGATTTATCTTTAAAACAAAGTTATGCCTTCATTTTTTCTCTTCATTTCTAAGGTGAAGATTTGGACAAAATAATACAAACCTGATTTTGGCTGCTGTTACTTTCCTGTTGTAAATATAAAATCTAACAGATAATGCAGCAGTTCTGGGTAGATAGTAAAACGGGATATTTCTACTCTAATGTACACCAGGGAAAACAATAGAAAACAGTGTTGTATACATGACAATAAGGCTATACCTGACAATAAGCCTATACCTGACAATAAGCATATATATGACAATTAGCCGATACCTGACAATAAGCCTCTACCTGACAATAAACCTATACCTGATGATAAGCCTATGCCTGACAATAAGCCTATATCTGACAATAAGCCTATGTCTGGCAATAAACCTTAAACATGACAATAAACCTATACCAGACAATAAGCCTATACCTGACAATAAGTCTATATCTGACAATAAGCCTATACCTGACAATAAGCCTATGTCTGACAATAAGCCTATATCTGACAATAAGCCTATGTCTGGCAATAAGCCTTAAACATGACAATAAACCTATACCTGACAATAAGCCTATACCTGGCAATAAGCATATACCTGACAATAAGCATATACCTGACAATAAGCATATACCTGGCAATAAGCCTATACCTGACAATAAGCCTATACCTGGCAATAAGCCTATACCTGGCAATAAGCCTATATCTGACAATAAGCCTATACCTGGCAATAAGCCTATACCTGGCAATAAGCATATATATGACAATTAGCCTATACCTGGCAATAAGCCTATACCTGGCAATAAGCCCATATATGACAATAAGTCTGTACCTGACAATAAACCTATACCTGGCAATTAGCCTATACCTTGCAATAAGCCTATATATGACAATTAGCCTATACCTGGCAATAAACCTATATCTGACAATTAGCCTATACCTGGCAATAAGCCTATATCTGACAATAAGCCTGTACCTGACAATAAGCCTATACCTGGCAATAAGCCTATATATGACAATTAGCCTATACCTGGCAATAAGCCTATACCTGGCAATAAGCCTATATATGACAATAAACATATGCCTGGCAATAAGCCTATACCTGACAATAAGCCAAGGAATATTTATTGCTTTTCAGTAGTATTATCAGCAAGTATTATTTCAATGACCTGGGACTTATCGCAGGATTGAAATGTTGTAGCTACAGAATTTAGGTCAAACTAAATTATATTTGTACATTGGTTTTCCTAACATTTACTTAAAATATATTTGGAATTTAATCTCTTGTATTGGTGTAATGTGTGCTGTGAAGAATTTTACCCATATAAAAAAAATATGTTTTTGTGTGAAAGCATGTATTAATTAGCTCATGTTTAAATATTTAATTGTTCAAATCTGATTTTGTGTCTGAAAATTTACTTCATACTAGCCTTTCTTAGCACTAGCTAGTCTGAATTTCTTCTATCAACTTTTATTCAGTTGTACACAAGTTTGATCAACCAATAATTAACCATGAAAAATTGGCCTGTTATAACTGGGTAATGTATGTGATATCACATGCTAGTAATTTCATTGTTGAAGAAGAAGTAAAGATGCTAGAATAATTTCAAAATTTTCTGAAACTCTAAAGAATATCCAAATCAATGTATTTGTTCAGGTGAAATAATTCAAATTTTGACCCAAAAAGAGATGAAAAATAAGGATGGTGCTTTCTGATGATATGGTAATAGAAACTTTCGGCCAAGTTAAGAAAATTAAAGACCAAATGTGGTTATGAACATTCAAGCCAAATATGGTAATATAAGATTCAGGCCAAATATGGTAATATAAGATTCAGGCCAAATTTTGCAATGTAAGATGAAAACAGATGTCTGTAAGATAGTGCAAATGAAGTTGAATTTAATATGAAAAGAAGACATTTATTTGCATTTCAATGGATGTCAAATATGTTTGTAAAACTGAATGATTGTTGGATATCAAAATCAGTGACAGATTTGCATGTACTGTACCTGATGGACTAGTGAGGTGAGAGAACCAAATGTTTTGTCAAAAGACCTGCTATCCTATGGTCTGGTTAACAAAGCTTTTGGACTTCTCATTTTAAACCTTATTGCATGTGACATAATAAACAAGCTCACGAGAGACAAATGTCTTCAGTATATCTTATTGAAACAAAATGTCTTAAACAATATTTATCTTTACTCTCTTACTTTCTATCGACCCGTGATTGAGTATTCCAAATGTCTCTTGCCCTTTCTCTTGATTTACACAAACACGTTAACATGTCTCCGACCAGAAACATGAAGATGTTAAAATTACATTACTGATGTAAATGATGATCAAAACATGGCTAATGAAAAAAGAAACCGAAAAAAAAAAAAATGAAAAAAGCCGAGAAATTTTGTAGTTGGATTTGTCTTTTAAATAAGTCTAATCTATAAAGTTTAGATATACTGTGTTCAAAGTTCTAATCAGGAAATAAAGTCAGCATCTATCATGGTGCATTGTATTGGGTCAATAACGGTCATCAGCGGTTAAATCCTGTGGATCTCACAAATAAAAATCACTTTACGTTAGATTCAAGATAACCATTCATGATGACCTTGACCCGGTACAGAAGTAAGATCTACTGAAGACATTTCAAATCTGTGTGTTGTGAATACTGTATTAGTATACTCATATATATAATGCTTAATATACATATGTGTTTTGTCTTGGCAGCTTATACTTTTGTGTATGTATGTTCTACAAGCATGTCGTCCACTTTAGGTTTACGGGAGTAGATGACTTCAACTGGTTTACCAAAACAATGGGTCGAGTGGTCAGTGAAGAGCTCGGCGAAGCTTATGGAACATGTATCGATCCAACTCACTATTTTGTTGACTTTCTAAGGTACAGTTTAGAGCCAATCTGATTGGTTCATGGCCGTCGCCATGGTGACACCTTAGTTGTGGAGGTCTGCACTCAGTTGGTTTTTATGTTTTGCTTTGTTCTTTTTTGGCTTATTATCCTTCCTTGCTGTCTCCCATCTGTTTTGTCTTTTTTTCCCTCATACTGCACACAAGATTATCAGCATCTTCTAAAATGGAAACTTAACAAGACTTTCAAAGTGCTTTTGTGCTTTCAGAGAGATAAAGCAGTTGAAAAATGTAATTTTTGCAGGAAACAAACGTTTTTTTTTATCTGAAAAAATTGACAAGATCTTTTAAATGGTCATGAAAGTCTTGTATGGTTAGCCATTTTAGAAGTGTTGTCTGCACTTTTTACATCATTTGATTTTCCTGATAACCGTATCCCTCACTAATTTTAACCCGGAAACAGGTTTGTCCTTATGGATGACTATCATTGGTTCGAAAAAACTATACAACGAATCATCGGTGAGGATCTCGGGGAAGAATATCTAGAAACTACGAAAACAACGCCATACTTCATGGATTTTATGAGGTATTGTATGGGAATACAATGTTTCAGAAAGTCAAGTGAAAAAAGGAGATCAGATTAGATGAAAAATTCAGGCTATAAAACATCAGTTATCTCAAAAACTGGAAAACAACACAAGAAGAAGACAAAGGGCCAAATTGTAGATTATGTCAATATTAATGAAACATTTAGTTTATCTGTGATAAAGATAAATTGTAAGGAAATGCTTGTTCAACAGATGTCCAGATTCCTTCTGTATAAACTGTATCAGAAGTGAAACTAGGGTGCGATTTATCGTTATTTTTTGTTTTTTTTAGATGTGAGCTTGATTTGTACAATTAGATGCATCACCCTTGTATATATGTAGAAGCTTTGTCAACAGTAGAAGTTGACCTCTTTGTTATAAGATATTAGAGCATTAAGAAAGAAATTGTTAAAAAATAAAGCCCAAAAAACCTCGAAATGATCGATGAAAAAAGAAAAAAAACAACAATTTGGCTTCTGAGCACCAAACATCATCTGTAATAAGAATCACAGGTCTGGCTTTTAGCCTGCTTTTCATTTGACCAGATATGGAGTGGAATCTTTAAAACACTTGTGTTACAGCATAAATTTATAAATGAACACCATTTCACTAAGTGTTATGCTGAGATCAAAGACAGATAGGAATATCTAACGCTGACATGGAGATACAATTATACATAAGAGATCGTTTTGTCTAACATCATTCCTCTATGTGTATTAACTTTAACAGTAAATTTCAGCTATTACAACTAATTCATCCCGTTTCAGAAAAAAACAGATCACATAATCACATTTTCTTTGGTTCTTTTCACTGTAAATAATGATTGAGAAATTGGGATAACTGGTTCTAAATCCCCAAGGACCTGAACCAAAGGTCATCAAAAGGTCACAAAATAAAGATAAGATTGAGTACCTAATCTACTGTAAAAAATACTGTTATATTCTGCTATTACATGGAAAATTTCTAGTAATGTCTTTTCTGTGTTTGACTGCCTTCAGTAGTTAAATTGTCACTGATTTATTCATAAAATTCCCCATGTGTAATTGTGTAATTATGTGTAACCTCTATTGCATGTAAATTAAATATTGATTGTCTCCCTTGATCACAATACATGTTGTTATTAGTTTCGTATTAAAATGATAAATATAAATCTTTGTTTAAAATTTTTTTGATTGGTAAAATGGAACGGGGTTTGTGCATCATAGTTATATGTGTTTTTGATAGTAAAATACATTATTTGACATTAACATTAATTAATATAAAGAATCAAATCTTGATCATTCCTAATTAGAACATCATTGCAATAGCTGAAATAATTGATTGATGGAAATAAACTAGTTAACATGACTGAGGTTTCGTAGATGTTGTTGTCATGGTGACATTGTTACTCCAGAGATGCAGCAGAAGCCACAGGAGATGAACCTGATGATGCCGACTTTGAGGCCCCAAAGATTTATGAAGCGGTGAGACACTTTGTAATGGACACTTGTATCTTTGAGAGGCAACTCATATCTTTTTAATCATGGGTACCTCTTCAGGGTTTCCCATTGTTTTATAACTGTGTAAATCCTTTAAAAACAGCAAGCACTGAACTGTATAATATTATGCTTGTTAAGTTCTGATTATCTGTTCTTAAAGCATTACCTAGCTCCATATTTATTGTTTCAGATTGAGAGTTTTGAACAGTTAGAGGAGCGCCTCCAGATGTTCTTGGCACAGTATAATGAAGGAATTCGAGGTTCAGGAATGGACTTGGTGTTCTTTAAGGATGCAATGACCCACTTGGTGAAGGTATCTCGTATCATCCGTACCCCGCGTGGACATGCCCTACTCGTAGGTGTAGGTGGATCAGGGAAACAATCTCTAACCAGACTCGCCTCATTCATCGCTGGGTACAAGACATTCCAAATCACTTTGACTCGGTAAGATCTCTCTCTGTAGACTACAGCATGAACTAGATAGTTACATTCTCTGATTCTAAGACCAGACTTTAGACATTTTCAAAGACAAAACTCTCCTCACAAGGTCAGACAGGGTACTCTTAATATCCTCATATTTCCAACCTGTCAAGGAAAAAGATTGAAAAGTCTATGCTAAGTATCAACTTGCTTTTCAGAAAAAATTGTCACAAAATAATTTGAAAAACAGCAGTGTTGGTATGAAATTCTTCACAAAATTGTTTGAGATACATAAAACATACTTTGGTAACATTTGAACAATCTGTTTTAGGTCATACAATGTATCCAACCTTCTGGAAGATCTCAAGTACCTGTACCGTACTGCAGGTGCCCAGGGCAAAGGTATAACCTTCATCTTCACAGACCAGGAGATCAAGGATGAGGGCTTCCTGGAATATCTCAACAATGTCCTGTCCTCTGGTGTGGTCAGTACTCCTATATCTAGAACCATTATGATATGTTTTAAATGTTTTTACGTGATGTTTGATGCTTTTAAAAATGACAATGACAGTAAAATTGATGTAGAAATCACATTGCCTTGTTTTTCGGTAGGTGGCCAACCTGTTTGCTCGTGATGAAATGGATGAGATTATGGGAGAATTGATCCCGATTATGAAGAAAGAATTCCCGCGACGTCCACCCAGTAACGAGAACCTGTATGAGTACTATTTGATGCGTGTGCGCATGAACCTTCATGTCGTTCTCTGCTTCTCACCAGTAAGTCATAGGAACAAGCATTATTAATGCGTCAGTAAGGAAAGCATCATGATTTTGTAGAATAATTACAACAGCTTGCCTAGCTGGTTATAAATATATAAAGTCCAGTTGGCAATGTTATTGATTGTATTAACCGATTATGAGGCAGCATTTTGAATTATTTCTTTTGACACAAAAGGTAACATTTCTGAATAAAAAAACAAAACTGATTTTCAAACACGACTGCTGTTTCAGGTCGGAGAAAAGTTCCGGGCACGCTCGCTGAAATTTCCTGGGTTGATCTCTGGCTGTACCATGGACTGGTTCCAACGTTGGCCAAGAGATGCTCTTATCTCTGTGGCTGACCACTTCTTGGCAGAGTTTAAGATCGAATGTACACCAGAAGTGAAGAAACAGATCATTCAGTGTATGGGAATTATACATGATGGTGTGGCAGAAAGCTGTGCCAGTTACTTTCAGAAGTAAGTCTTCACATTGATTGTGTAAGGTATTGAAACTCCACTCCTGGCCCCGTGAAATCTTAGATGTGTTTGTTTCTGTATTTAATGAAGATGATTTACGAAGTGGTATTATGTTTTAGGTATTGAAACTCCACTTGTGTGCCCCTGAAACCTTATCTGTGTTTGTACCAGTAGTTACTGAGATAGATTTAACTGAGTTGTATTTCATTGTAGGTATCGACGTTCCACTCATGTCACTCCAAAATCTTACCTGTCTTTCATCAATGGTTACAAAACTATCTACACAGACCAGCGTAATGAGATTGGGGAACTGGCCGACAGGATGAACACAGGTACATTACATATTTTCAATATATCATTATTTACAGTTTACAAAGACGTAATTACTGTTACTTGAAATCAGTGATGAAATGAATTATTTTTTGAAGAATTTTTTACTAGAATTGTCCACCACCTTTTAGGATTTCTTGAGCAATATTTACTGTATTTATCCTGCAATAAACCCAGGTGACCTCTATGTTACCCTTGACTTAAAGTAGGGTTGGACTTATCACAGGACAATGATATAGCATTTCTACTGAAATTCCGATAAATGTAAGTTGGCTAATCACATTTCCAGGCCTGGGCGTATCAATGGATAAATATGGTACGCAGTTAAGCACCAACAATCACTAACCAATTAAGTTTTGTGCACCTGAGCTGTCTAACACATTTTGATTGATTTATAGGACTCGTCATTGTCCTGTAATAAACCCACTACTAGTTATTGAGTAAGAAGTTTTGTGTTTTCTCCCCGAGTGTAACAAAGTTGAAATAAAGTTGATATAATGAAACAGATAGAATTGGCTATGATTATAGATCAGATTTCAAAACACTTATATTTCCCATTACCAGGTCTAGAGAAACTGATCGAGGCCTCACAGCAGGTGGCACAGCTCAGTGAGGAGCTGGCGGTCAAGGAGAAAGAACTCGCTATTGCCTCTGAGAAGGCTGATAAAGTGTTGGCAACAGTGACAGTCAAGGCTCAGGCAGCTGAGAAGGTCAAGGCACAGGTGAAAAAAGTCAAGGATAAGGCACAAGCTATTGTAGATGCCATTGAGCAGGACAAGGCAATTGCTGAAGAGAAACTAGAGAAAGCTCGGCCTGCCCTAGAGGAAGCAGAAGCTGCTTTGAACACTATCAAACCAGCAGATATTGCCACTGTGAGGAAGCTTGGCAAACCTCCTCATCTCATTATGAGGATTATGGACAACGTACTGCTTCTCTTTCAGAAACGTATCAATACTGTAGAAATGGATCCAGAGAGAATTTGTGCCAAACCATCCTGGAGTGAATCACTCAAGGTTAGTGAGATTCACTGATGATTGTTTTATTTGTTTCCTGATATGCAAGCTCACCAATATTGGCAGTTAAAATCCTGATTCGGAAAGTCAGACATCATGATATAGTGATGCTATACAGTGCCAAATTATGGGTAATTAATATAACTATGATGTCATATTGTGCTAAACTATTGAGAACTAGTTATGTAATCTATAATGACTTGTGTTTCAGCTGATGTCAGGTACTAACTTCCTCCAGACTCTTGTTAACTTTGAGAAAGACAAGATAAACGATGAGGTTATAGAGCTAATGCAGCCTTACTTACAAATGGAAGACTACAATTTTGAGACAGCTAAGAGGGTTTGTGGTAATGTTGCTGGTCTTTGCTCCTGGACCTTTGCCATGGCTTCTTTCTTTGCCATCAACAAAGAAGTTCTTCCACTCAAGGTAGGTGTGTCCAACATGGTTTTATCTTCCTGAAGGACATATATTTCTTCCTACTGAAGGTCGTATGTGAATTCTTTCAAAAGGTCATATCTGTTACTTTCTTCTAAAGGTCATATATTACTTCTTAATGATATTAAAGGTCAAACATGGTACTCTCTTCTGAAGTTCATATGTTACTTCTTACTGAAGGTCACATGTTACTAATGCCAATATTAAAGGTCATATCTGACTCTCTATAAGGTCATATGTTACCCCTTTTCACACATACTTTACTCAGTGATATCTCAAGTTTTTGTTAATGGTGAATGATTTTGCCTTGTAAAGATAAAAGTTCAGCTTTATGTCAGGGAAAGAACCATTTGCTATACATTCTGTATGTTCTTCATGTTGCTGCTCTGAGAACAATTCATTGTAAAAATCCTATAGACTTAGTGTATTCTGCTGGTACCTGCTTATTTGTGGACATAAAAAATAGGTCTTGAAGTCTGTTATCAAAGAAGTATATTTAACACATGCAAGTGGCTAGTTACTAAGAGGACATTATCAAGGCAAAGCTTACATGATGAAGTAACTGTTGGTCATGTGATTAAAACTCAGAGAATAAAAATTAGATACAGAATAATCTTTATCTGCCTGTGATTAATTCTTTTGTTTCTCTTGATTGTAGGCTAATTTAGCTATCCAGGAGGCCAAGTTAAATGTTGCTATGGGAGACCTCAACACTGCTCAAGCCCAGCTGGATGAGAAGGAGGCTGAACTGGCTGAAGTGATGGCCATGTATGATGCAGCTATGAGGGAAAAACAGGTAAACCATATACTGACTTTACCAGTCCTGGAACTTTGCTTCTATATCAGTAAAACATGAACTTTTAAGGTTTGCACATGGTCAGTCTAAGTATTCCTAATTATGCTAAATATGGTTTACAATAGAAACTGGTGGATGATGCCGAGACGTGTCGTAGAAAGATGAACGCAGCCACAGAACTGATCAATGGTCTGGCAGGAGAGAGGAAGAGATGGACAGAACAGAGTCAGGAATTCAAGGCACAAATTGGCAGGTAAGGATAGACAACTCTAAATCAGTGATAGGTAATGTAAGTTAGAGGGCAGACAACTCTTGATTATGTTTTAGCTGATTGTAAGTAGTTTTTCACATTGATAACATGTAGTTTGTGTTGTATGATTATCATTGGTGTTCTTTCTTTATTTCATATAGATCATCTTATTCTGTAGATTGTGATGAAACTTTATTTGTCAAAGGGGACCTGTTAGCATGATTAAATACTGTAAGCATTCAGTAAAAAATGAAAAGTGACCCAAATTAACATATCCTTGCTTTACTATTCTTTTTCCCGTTTTGTTTAATTTATTTTCAGTGATTTCAATGACATAGACATATTTAGGACACTCTTTGTAGGGAGCAGTTCTGTGTGACCAAACTAAATATTTATTATTTATTGTAAATTTAGGCACATGAAGGATATTTACAGTTCTTTTCCAGATCTCTGTTGTGTCCATGTACGTTTGGAAAAATAATATGATAAACCCTGGTAACATTGATCAGTCATTTTCTAACCTCAACTTTCTCTATAGCTCTGTTGCTGGGTACAGTATCAAGTATTGTTCATCATTCTCATCCAGCCTTTCACAATATTTTGTTGAAATAATCACATCTGGTTGCCTGTTCATGCCTATAGACACTATGCATGTGGATTATTACTTGTAATCTGACTTCATTTATGTATATTTGTCATTTGATCTAGGTTACAGATGCTATGTCATTTGACCTTGATCACAGATATGTATGTTATTTGACCTTGATCACAGATATGTATGTCATTTGACTTTGATTACAGATATGTATGTCATTTGACCTTGATCACAGATATGTATGTTATTTGACCTTGATTACAGATATGTATGTCATTTGACCTTGATCACAAATATGTATGTTATTTGACCTTGATCACAGATGTGTATGTTATTTGACCTTGATCACAGATGTGTATGTCATTTGACCTTGATTACAGATATGTATGTCATTTGACCTTGATTACAGATATGTATGTCATTTGACCTTGATCACAGATATGTATGTCATTTGACCTTGATCACAGATGTGTATGTCATTTGACCTTGATCACAGATATGTAGGTCATTTGACCTTGATTACAGATGTGTATGTAATTTGACCTTGATCACAGATATGTATGTAATTTGACCTTGATCACAGATATGTATGTAATTTGACCTTGATCACAGATATGTATGTCATTTGACCTTGATCACAGATATGTATGTCATTTGACCTTGATCACGAATATGTATGTCATTTGAACTTGATCACAGATATGTATGTAATTTGACCTTGATCACAGATATGTATGTAATTTGACCTTGATCACAGATATGTATGTCATTTGACCTTGATCACGAATATGTATGTCATTTGAACTTGATCACAGATATGTATGTAATTTGACCTTGATCACATGTTTGTCAAGATCTAGGTTGCTATGATTTTTGTTCTTGAAATCTCTCACCTATGTCTTTAACATGACTTCCTCAAATTATGGGAAATTCATTCTAATTGTAGGAACTTTGATTTTATGCAGTTAAATATGCAAATCAGTTCTTTATACCATAACAAATGTGGAAAGTATTTTTTAAATTTCAAAAAAGTCTTTTGACCGTTGAAAATTCAAGAACCTCTATAACCTACTGTATGAATGTGTCTTGTATAATGATCTTTATCACTGGAATGCACACCTAGAGAAATAACATAACAGCTGTTTTGTGGGTGGTTATAACCTAGACAACCCAGCTGTTATGTGGGTGGTTATAACCTAGACAACCCAGCTGTTTTGTGGGTGGTTATAACCTAGACAACCCAGCTGTTATGTGGGTGGTTATAACCTAGACAACCCAGCTGTTATGTGGGTGGTTATAACCTAGACAACCCAGCTGTTATGTGGGTGGTTATAACCTAGACAACCCAGCTGTTTTGTGGGTGGTTATAACCCTGACAACCCAGCTGTTATGTGGGTGGTTATAACTTAGACAACCCAGCTGTTATGTGGGTGGTTATAACCTAGACAACCCAGCTGTTATGTGGGTGGTTATAACCTTGACAACCCAGCTGTTATGTGGGTGGTTATAACCTAGACAACACAGCTGTTATGTGGGTGGTTATAACTTTGTTCTATTTCACTAGTACAGGTATATATCTCATGTTGTTGAATTGCAGACTTGTCGGAGATGTCCTCGTATGTACTGCCTTCCTGTCATACTCTGGACCATTCAACCAAGATTACCGTCTGGTCCTCAACAAAAACTGGTTCAAGGAACTGAAGACAAGAAAAATCCCATTCACTCTTAACCTCAATGTCATAGACATGCTTACAGACCCCACCACAGTAAGTATGACACATCAATGACATAGACATGTTTACACAGAGAGTGTGACACATAAATGTCATATACATGCTTACAGACCCCACCACAGTAAGTATGACACATCTATGTCATAGACATGTTTACACAGAGAGTGTGACACATCTATGTCATAGACTTGTTTACACAGAGAGTATGACACATCAATGTCATAGACATGTATACACAGAGAGTATGACACATCAATGTCATATACATGCTTACAGACCCCACCACAGTAAGTATGACACATCTATGCCATAGACATGTTTACACAAAGAGTGTGACACATCAATGTCATAGACATGTTTACACAGAGAGTTTGACACATCAGTGTCATAGACATGTTTACAAACCCCACCACAGTATGACACATCAATGTCATAGACATGTTCACACAGAGAGTATGACACATCAATGTCATAGACATGTTTACACAGAGAGTGTGACACATCTATGTCATAGACATGTTTACACAGAGAGTATGACACATCAATGTCATAGACATGTTTACACAGAGAGTATGACACATCAATGTCATATATATGCTTACAGACCCCACCACAGTAAGTATGACACATCTATGCCATAGACATGTTTACACAAAGAGTGTGACACATCAATGTCATAGACATGTTTACACAGAGAGTTTGACACATCAGTGTCATAGACATGTTTACAAACCCCACCACAGTATGACACATCAATGTCATAGACATGTTCACACAGAGAGTGTGACACATCAATGTCATAGACAAGGTTACACAGAGAGTGTGACACATCAATATCATTGACATGTTTACACAGAGAGTATGACACATCAATGAAATCTGATTCCCTGATTCATAATAATGTGCTTGAGAAGAATTTCATCAAAGTTGGGTCAACTTTAAAGGTGAAGGTTGGTGACAAGGAGTGTGACATCATGAAGGGCTTCACTCTGTACCTCACAACAAAGCTGGGCAACCCCTCTTACACACCAGAGGTCTCTGCTCGGTCCTCCATCATTGACTTCACCGTTACAATGAAGGGACTGGAAGATTTCATAATTTCAGTATGTATAAATTCTGATGATTAACTATATATCAATTTGACAGGTTGGAGAATGGAACTTACAAGGCCTGCCCAATGATGAATTATCAACACAAAACGGTATCATCGTAACAAAAGCAGCTCGCTATCCTCTACTGATAGATCCCCAGGGCCAGGGCAAAAACTGGATCAAATCTCGTGAGGGCAAGAACGAGCTCCAGGTCAGTTTGTGGTGTTTGTGATTTACAGCTGATGTGGAGTAAGGCCATTTAGGCTCATGAAATATTAAGACCAAGAAAAAATTATGATAAAGCTGGGAAGCAGTAGAAAAGAATGCAAGATTCAGTCACTGTACAGTTGTGTACTTAAAAAATTATACTGTTTGAATTCAATTTCAGTAAATTAAAGCTAAATAAGTATTTCTTAGTTTTCTTTTGAAAAATTCCATTTTCTTTACATTGTCTTTAAGAAAGGTTATTGCCTGAAATATCAGAGTCTTGGTGTAAAACCATTTGTAATACACTACTGTATGGTTCTTTACAGATCACTGCACTCAACCACAAGTATTTCCGTACCCATCTTGAAGACTCAATGTCCTTGGGACGACCTCTTCTGATTGAAGACATTGGAGAGGACCTTGACCCTGCCCTGGACAATGTGCTTGAGAAGAATTTCATCAAAGTTGGGTCAACTTTGAAGGTGAAGGTTGGTGACAAGGAGTGTGACATCATGAAGGGCTTCACTCTGTACCTCACAACAAAGCTGGGCAACCCCTCTTACACACCAGAGGTCTCTGCTCGGTCCTCCATCATTGACTTCACTGTTACAATGAAGGGACTGGAAGATCAGTTGCTTGGACGTGTCATTCTAACAGAGAAGGCTGTGAGTTAAACACAATTGATGACTCCAAAATTGGTTTATGTTAGAAGTTTTTATGATTTGGTTCTTGATAATTCATTGAACATTAACTAAATGAGTTTTGTAGTACTGAATTATAAGCCTGTGTTTTTTTTTCTGTAGGAGTTAGAGTCTGAGAGAGTGAAGCTGATGGAGGACGTACAGGCAAACAAGAAAAAGATGAAGGAACTGGAAGACAATCTCCTCTTTAGACTTACAAGTACCAAGGTCAGTCAAGTTCAAATGTCATGGTTATATATAATTGTTAAGGTCACAACTGAATGTCAAGTACTCCACTTTATGTCAAGTTCACAGTTCAGTGTCAAGGTCACAAATATATACCAGTCAAAGTAGCAACTCAGTGTCAAGGTCACAAATTCATACCAGTTAAAGTAGCAACTCAGTGTCAAGGTCACAAATACATACCAGTCAAAGTAGCAACTCAGTGTCAAGGTCACAAATACATACCAGTCAAAGTAGCAACTCAGTGTCAAGGTCACAAATACATACCAGTCAAAGTAGCAACTCAGTGTCGAGGTCACAACTACATACCAGTCAAAGTAGCAACTCAGTGTTAAGGTCACAAATTCATATCAGTCGCAGTAGCAACTTGGTGTCAAGGTCACACAAATTTTGTGTATATCAATATCAATGTCATAACAGATGTCACAGCTCTGTGTCAGTCATGGGCTGAAATAAATGTTGATATTTTGTTTATCCCTGCAGCCTTGAAAACTTGTGGATGATGAGTTAATATATCCCGACAGGTTAACAGAATTTTCAATAAAGAATAAACTGCTATACATTGTACAAATCTACAGAGGTTAATGTGTAACTATGTCTTATAGGGATCCCTGGTGGATGATGAGGATTTGATCAATGTGTTGCACGTAACCAAGACAACCTCCATCGAGGTCAGTCAGAAGCTTCAGACAGCAGCTGAGACAGAGATCAAAATCACCGCTGCTCGTGAAGAGTTCCGTCCGGTAGCTGCTCGTGGCTCCATTCTATATTTCCTCATTGTGGAGATGGGACTGGTGAACTGCATGTATCAGACATCTCTCAAACAGTTCCTGCACCTGTTTGACCTCTCAATGGCCAGGTGAGTAGTGCTGTCAACTTGGGTAAAGGTGAAGAGACAGAATTTGGGGTCATGGTAAAGAGGCAGATTTAGGGGTCAGATAAAGAGACAAACTGATGGTCTTGAAAAGAAACAAATTTTGAGGTCAGGAAATGAGACAAAAGTCAGATACAAATTGTCAAAGATCAAAAACTAGGAATTGTCAAAGGTCAAACAATAGGATTTGTCAAAGGTCAAACACTAGAAATTGTCAAAAATCAGATACAAGAAGTTATGATATCAATGTGCTGTTCCTATGTAGGTAAGATTGATTAGGTTGAGGTTCTGGAAATCAGTTATATTCAGCACTAGACAGGTGACTGACCTCAGTTGGTTTAAAGTTGGGTAGTTGAGGTTTCAAACATTAAATCAGATGCAGTTTGAGAGGTATAAAGATATTATAGATAAGCTGGAATTTTTTATATGAGCAAACATTATCTGATCTCCATTCCTTTTTCCAGGTCCCAGAAGTCTCCCATCACACAGAAGCGTATCACCAACATCATTGAATACATGACATTTGAGGTGTTTAAATATGCCTCCCGTGGCCTGTACGAAACCGACAAGAACACTTTTACACTGTTGCTTGCACTTAAGATTGATTTGGCTGCTGGCAAAATCAAACATGAAGAATTCCTCACCCTCATCAAAGGTTAGTCAACATCTTCGTGAAATGCAAAAAAATTTTTATTCTTACAGACATTTTCTAGTTTTTATATGTCTCATACAATGTAACTTGCATTGAATAAAAAACAATTGCTTGGATGGTATTAAAGTAATAGAAATAACTTGTGGTTGTGTCTTATTTAATCAAATAATTAGATATAATTCTATCATTTATTCAGGTGGTGCTTCCCTGGATATGAACGTGGTCACGCCCAAGCCACACAGGTGGGTGGTTGACCTCACCTGGCTTAACCTTGTGGAGCTAAGTAACCTCCATCAGTTCTCGGGTATCCTGGAGCAGGTAACCAGGAATGAGAAACAGTGGCGCCATTGGTTTGACAAGGACGCTCCTGAGGAAGAAGTCATTCCTGATGGCTATAACAACACACTTGATGTGTTCAGACGTCTGCTTCTGGTGCGCTCCTGGTGCCCAGATCGTACCATGGCTCAGGCACGGAAGTACATTGCTGACACACTTGGTGACAAGTATGCTGAAGGTGTTATCCTTGACCTTGAGAAGATGTGGATGGAAAGCACCAGTAGATCACCTCTGGTCTGTCTGCTGTCCATGGGGTCAGATCCTACCACTCTCATCGAGGCCCTAGCAAAGAAAAACAAAATAGGTAGGACAGACAGACATGTAACCCCAGTCAACCATAAACAGCAGATTCTTTCTAAATCTATTTACGAATTGCTGTCGCATAAGACACATATGTGAAATAAAGCTAAGATTTTGAGAAGAATAGGAAAAAAGGTTTAAATTTTTTTCATATGGTTTATCAAAAAATGTTAGGTTTTGTCCTGAAACAGAGTAAGCCAGAACAAGTAAAATTTACTATTTTTTTTAATGCTAATTTATAACATTTAAATTAAGTGCTAGCACAGATGTTAAACACATGTCATAGGTCAGTCTTTGGTACACTAATAACGAGCTGGATCACCTGATGATAAAACATCCTTCTTGTCTTTGTAGAATGCCACGCCATCTCTATGGGTCAGGGCCAGGAAGTGCATGCCCGCCGTCTGTTGACCCAAGGGGTCCAGGGTGGGGGCTGGCTGCTGCTGCAGAACTGCCATCTCAGTTTGGACTATGTGGAGGAAGTCTTGGACCAGTTGATTGAGATTGAAAACATCCATGATGAGTTTAGGGTTTGGGTGACAACTGAGGTCCATCGCAAGTTCCCCATCAACTTCTTACAGGTAGAGCTCCCTGTAACTCTGCAAATGTGTGATACATAATCTGATAACATATTTTATTTCAGCAGTAGAAACCAAACACAAGAGTTTGTCTACCTGTCTGAACACTAGGACAGGTAGGTAATTTTGGCAGGAAGATTATTGACAGTGACAAGTCTCTACTCTGGAGTCACAATGAAATAAAATGATTTTGTAGCACAGATTTAAATGTCTGGATTTGTAGCACAGATTTAAATGTCTGGATTTGTAGCACAGATTTAAATTTATGGATTTGAAGCACAGATTTAAATTTCTGGATTTGTAGCACAGATTTGAATTGCTGGATTTGTAGCACAGATTTAAATTTCTGGATTTGTAGCACAGATTTGAATTGCTGGATTTATAGCACCGATTTGAATTTCTGGATTTATAGCACAGATTTAAATTTCTGGATTTATAGCACAGATTTAAATTTCTGGATTTGTAGCACCAATTTGAATTGCTGGATTTGTAGCACACATTTGAATTGCTGGATTTGTAGCACAGATTTGAATTGCTGGATTTGTAGCACAGATTTGAATTGCTGGATTTGTAGCACAGATTTGAATTGCTGGATTTATAGCACAGATTTGAATTGCTGGATTTGTAGCACAGATTTGAATTGCTGGATTTGTAGCACAGATTTAAATTTCTGGATTTATAGCACCGATTTGAATTGCTGGATTTGTAGCACAGATTTGAATTGCTGGATTTGTAGCACAGATTTGAATTGCTGGATTTGTAGCACAGATTTGAATTGCTGGATTTGTAGCACAGATTTGAATTGCTGGATTTATAGCACAGATTTGAATTGCTGGATTTGTAGCACAGATTTGAATTGCTGGATTTGTAGCACAGATTTAAATTTCTGGATTTATAGCACCGATTTGAATTGCTGGATTTGTAGCACAGATTTGAATTGCTGGATTTGTAGCACAGATTTAAATTTCTGGATTTATAGCACCGATTTGAATTGCTGGATTTGTAGCACAGATTTGAATTGCTGGATTTGTAGCACAGATTTGAATTGCTGGATTTGTAGCACAGATTTGAATTGCTGGATTTGTAGCACAGATTTGAATTGCTGGATTTGTAGCACAGATTTGAATTGCTGGAGGGTTATTTTGGTATTTTCTATTGATTAAGTTATCTTATATTTCAGATGTCCATTAAATTCACCAATGAGCCTCCCCAGGGTATGAAGGCAGGTCTGAAACGATCATACGCAGGCATGACTCAGGATTTTATAGACATCTCTAACATGCCCCAATGGAAACCCATGCTGTATGGAGTTTCATTCCTCCATTCAGTTCTTCAGGAGCGTAGAAAGTTTGGACCTCTTGGCTGGAATATTCCGTATGAGTTCAATGCTGCTGACTACAATGCTAGTGTTCAGTTTGTACAAAATCATTTGGATGACATGGACCTGAAAAAGGTGTGTTGATATCAAGAATATCGGGCCGTTTTCGTTTATCGGTTTTACTATTTGAAACGGGTTGTTTGTGTATGAAATAATGAATGACCTATTAATCTCTTGTTTTGTAACGAGCCTTCATGAAGCTAGGCCAGTACTAATAGCTGACTATGTTTATAACGGAAATGTTACTAAAGTTTAGGAACTAATGGACTTATCAGTCAGTTATTGCAATAATGTTAAAAAGTTTCAAATAAGTATCGGAGTGCCAACAATAGATAGTGGTTATACCCTCAATCTTTTGCTGATAGTCATTTAAGCACATATAAGAGAGTTAAGTATGATGGTAAAGGAATGTAGAGAATTGTTTCCTGATTTGAAGGAAGAATAGGTTGATGGCACAAGATAACACATAACACTTAATACATGTTGGGGATAAATGGTGGTTTGAGAATGGCATAGTGCGATGATATTTCATAGCTGTTCTTTGTCAGTATGACAAGGAAAAATGTCCATCATTTGACAAGTTTGTTTGTTTTACTTCACAGGGAGTGAATTGGACAAATGTGCGTTACATGTTTGGAGAGATCCAGTATGGAGGCCGTGTGACTGACGACTATGACAAGCGTCTGCTCAACACATTCTGCAAGGTGTGGTTTGGGGAACAAATGTTCCAGTCCAACTTTGTGTTTTACAAGGGGTATGTAATTCCAAAATGCAACAAACTTACCGAGTACCTCGAGTTCATCAGTGGACTCCCAACAACAGACACACCAGAGGTGTTTGGTCTCCATGGCAACGCTGATATCACGTAAGTCACTTTTCTGCATACAAAGATAATCTCTCATTTGTATATTTAAGGATGATCACTTCAAATCATCTTAATTACTATCACATGATATATTAAACAATGACTAAAAAAACACAATATCTATCTATGTTACATGGGAGACTGTATTTATGAGACTGACCTTTCGGATTTTCTATTGAAATTTTATCTCCGTAATAATGCTATCATATAAAAATGATATTATTTTTTTACATCTCAAGAATGAAATTGAAAATCTATACTTTGTTGTTGTTTAGCTACCAGAGCCAGACAGCAAAGTCTGTCCTGGATACAATCCTTGAGATTCAGCCCAAAGACAGTAGTGGTGGTGGCGGTGAGACACGCGAGTCTGTTGTCTACCGTCTGTGTGATGACATGTTGGATAAACTTCCCAATGACTATGTGCCCTATGAGGTGAAGGCACGCCTCCAGAAGATGGGCCCCTTCCAACCAATGAATATTTTCCTGAGGCAGGAGATAGACCGCATGCAGAAGGTCATTGCTACTGTACGCTTCACTCTCAACGACCTGAAACTAGCTATTGATGGTACCATCATTATGAGTGAGAATTTGCGAGATGCTCTTGACTCCATGTATGATGCCAGGATACCCAAGTTATGGCAGAAGGTATGTCTTGTTACCCAGCCTTATTCTTTGCAACATATACATTACTTGACCAAATAAGAGTACATGAAAATGACCCTTTTTGTCCCTTCCTGGCATTATGTGTACAATATAGTTAGAATCATCTTCCTTATTCAACACATGTCTATGTCATGTTACAGGAATCATTGTGACTCAGGTGACCGTTAAGGCCCTTGGGTCTCTTGTCCCAGATCTATAAGTCAGCAGGGTAGTTATAATGGGGGATAAGGTATCTGTAGGTCTGTCCACGGGAATCTGTACTGATACTGAAAAAAATATGAATTATCTTGACCAACAACATTAGGTTTTTTGTTTACAGAAAATTCCTTCATTTCTGATCAAGGCATTCCACAATATGGTATATCACATGTATGTGTTAATTAATATTAGGGACATCCTGTTGAATCCAACTTGATGCTGTTATCATAAAAACTATAAATCAGTTTTTCTTTAACAGCTACTTTCTTGGGGCAGCTGAATTTTGTGACTTTTTTTTACAATGTGTTATATTACACAAATTTTAAAGATTATTTATTCAAGTCTATGGTTGTAGGAGATGATGTTTGAACAGCAATTCTACATGTTGTGTCTTTTAACTTACTTTCAGATTTCCTGGGACTCCAGCACCCTTGGATTCTGGTTTACTGAACTGATTGACAGGAACACTCAGTTCCACAGCTGGTGTTTCGATGGTCGTCCTAACACGTTCTGGATGACAGGATTCTTCAATGCTCAAGGATTCCTTACAGCTATGAGACAGGTATGTAAAATTACAATACCAGTTAGTGTGTTTCTTTACAAAGGTCAAAGGTTTCTAGAATTCAAGGTCATCTCTAGATATTTCACACATTAAGGTCACTTCTTCATCTGTTTTCAAAGTTGACCAAAAGTTTATCTTGGTCGTTCATGTAAGAATTTACAAATTACTTCAAAGATCACTATGATCATTATTATACAAGAGGCCCATGTGGCCTGTATCGCTCACATAGTTTTACTTTATCCAAACTAAAGGAGAAAGATTCTAAAGACTTGCAAGTTTTTCCTCTTTGGGCCCTGCCCCTACCAGTTTGAGACAAAAACCAAGCATTTCTACAGAAAATGAAGGATTTTAAAGACTTTGCTCTTGTTCCTCATTTACATTACTTTATCAAACTTCTTTGGGTATGAATAAATTGTCTGCCCTTGGGTTTTATCCAGCCTTCAGCAGTGTTCAAAATGACTAACATGACACACCTTTAACGCAATGTAACTTCTGTTTTACAGGAAGTGACCCGTGCTCACAAGGGCTGGGCACTGGACAGTGTAATCCTCCACAACGACGTTACACGATACAGCCGTGATGACATCACCACGCCACCTTCTGAAGGTGTATATGTATATGGTCTGTTCCTAGAAGGCGCTGGTTGGGAACGACGAGGCTGCCGATTGATTGAACCAAAACCTAAAATATTGTTTGAGACCATGCCGGTAATCCATATCTATGCCATCAACAGTACGGGTGGCCAGGATGCCCGCATGTACTCCTGTCCTATCTACAAGAAACCCCGAAGGACTGACCTCACATACATCGCAGCGGTCAACCTGAAGACCAATCAGAACCCTGACCACTGGATCCTTCGTGGTGTTGCTTTGTTGTGTGATACAAAGTAGGCAGGCTGACAGTAACTTGAATTTGCATAAACTTTTTACAGCAACAAAAAATGCCACCAACAAAAGTATTTATGCGGATCAAAATTTCACGAAAAATTTCAAAACTCTGTGATAACGTAAATCACGACGAGTATTAGACATTTTCTATTTTCTCTTTTACAAACTTGACGTTGGTCCTACCTAAAACATTGATGTTAGTAGAAATCTTTAGTTGTAGAACTTTAGAAATGATAAGTAGAGTCATATATCTCTTATAGTTCCAAACTGGAGTAAATAAGCTCGGAAGAGAAGGCCTACGATACTAAACCAAAGTATTTATATGGTGTATAGAATTTGCTAACTGCTTTTGATACTTTATACCTGTGTTATATGTCACTACTTGTGATATCATCTTCATGCCTTAGAAAGTTCAGTATTCCGTCCATTAGGAGCCTTTATATCATCAATAGAATTTATATCTCTTTATTTTTACATATCTTATGGTCTATTACCATTAATGCATTAAAATCTGTCCGTCCCCCAAAACATGTGATACTAATGGCTATAAACTTTAGTTGTTTAATGCTATCGTCCAGAATACCAATGACAAATAATGATATTACAAATCGTCTATTTAATTATATATTTTATGTTTGAAAACTAGATACAGATAGTGTTGTATTTAGTTTAGAATACCTCCAGTGCTCCTGAAATCATATTTTCATTTGATTAACAGTTGTTCTTTAAATCACATATCTTTTGTGTGTTCTTTATTTCGTATATTATTCTTATAGGCTTTATTTGTGGAACATCTAAATTTTTTACTGTTGTAACGGGGAAGGTTTTGTATGGAATCCCATATAAACCAGAAAATTTCATCTAAAGATAGGCCTCCTTGAAAATATGAAACAAAAATTAATTAAAAATCAAATGATTTGATGTAATTTACACTTTCTGTCCATTTTTCTGAGATTACATATAAATGTAGTATTTGTTAGTACGTAGTTATTTTATCTAACTTTCAGAAGGAAACGCGAACACCATAACAATGAAGTGAGATAGAAAATAGAGTTATATAACTATTTAAATTGATACTGTGTATACTGCTGAGGATAAATCGTACAATGATTATCAATGTCCTGAAAAAATTACACAAAGTAAAAAACTTGTCTGTGATACTATTTCTCGCTAGATTGTACAAGTTATCTCCCCTTGTCCATAATTCCCCTCTGTGTAGACTATGATTAAATACTATCTCCATGTTCAATGTTATTTATATACAAATGCCATTTTTGGTATCTTGGCTATAGTTGTTTAAAATTTGTTAGAAAATAAAAAATATTTCATCAGAATGATTTTGTATTTATTGTTATTTCCATGCATCCTTGTTCTGTTGTGTAACAATTCTGAATGGAATTTAGGTATGTCACAACCATTTACATTGATCTTCATGTATATAACTGTATGCACCAAAAGTATGACATTACTTAATGGACATATGTATTCCAGGTGGTGAGGTCAAAGTTGAAGGATGGACAGCAGTTGCAGTTTATTTCTTATCATAATGTACCTAGATGTCAAGAGTGTTTTTTTCATATATTAAACAGTAAAATCAGCTAGCACTGATCAAATTTTCTGAAGTGTACAGGTGACAAGAAGTGATGAATTTCCAAAACGATTCTATCAAAGTATGAAGCCTTTTGTATAGTAATGAATCTCTGACAGGATTATTCCTGAATAAATAGCCTTCATTAGGTCACCTTATACAAAGTCTCATGGTGACCTATTGCGATCACCTTCATCCAGCGTTGTGCGTCTGTAAACAATTTAACATTTTCGACTTCTTCTCAATCACCCCTGATCCAATTTCAATGGAATTTTGCAGAAACCTTCCCCTGCCTTAGATGAACCAGAATTGTGAATCATACAGTCCCAACTCCAACCCCAACCCCCAGGGGTCTGAGGGGCAGGGCCAAAACGGGTCAAATTGACTCGGATTTCCAAAATCTTCTTTTCAAGAAAAAGGAACTAAAATTGATGGGTTTAAGCCTTTTGAAAAAAGAACTAAAATTGATGGGTTTAAACCTTTTGAAAAAAGAACTAAAATCACTGGGGTTAAGCCTTTTGAAAAGAGAACTAAAATCGATGGGGTTAAGCCTTTTGAAAAAAGAACTAAAATTGATGGGGTTAAGCCTTTTGAAAAGAGAACTAAAATTGATGGGTTTAAACCTTTTGAAAAAAGAACTAAAATTGATGGGTTTAAACCTTTTGAAAAAAGAACTAAAATTGATGGGTTTAAACCTTTTGAAAAAAGAACTAAAATTGATGGGTTTAAGCCTTTTGAAAAGAACTAAAATTAATGGGTTTTAGCCTTTTGAAAAAAGAACTAAAATTGATAGGGTTAAGCCTTTTGAAAAGAGAAGGAAAATTGATGGGTTTAAGCCTTTTGAAAAAAGAACTAAAATTGATGGATTTAAGCCTTTTGAAAAAAGAACTAAAATTGATGGATTTAAGCCTTTTGAAAAGAGAAGGAAAATTGATGGGTTTAAGCCTTTTGAAAAAAGAACTAAAATCGATGGATTTAAGCCTTTTGAAAAGAGAACTAAAATCGATGGGGTTAAGCCTTTTGAAAAGAGAACTAAAATCGATGGGGTTAAGCCTTTTGAAAAGAGAACTAAAATCGATGGGGTTAAGCCTTTTGAAAAGAGAACTAAAATCGATGGGGTTAAGCCTTTTGAAAAGAGAACTAAAATCGATGGGGTTAAGCCTTTTGAAAAGAGAACTAAAATCGATGGGGTTAAGCCTTTTGAAAAGAGAACTAAAATCGATGGGGTTAAGCCTTTTGAAAAGAGAACTAAAATCGATGGGGTTAAGCCTTTTGAAAAGAGAACTAAAATCGATGGGGTTAAGCCTTTTGAAAAGAGAACTAAAATTGATGGGGTTAAGCCTTTTGAAAAGAGAACTAAAATTGATGTGTTAAGCCTTTTGAAAAGAGAACTAAAATCGATGGGTTTAAACCTTTTGAAAAGAGAACTAAAATCGATGGGGTTAAGCCTTTTGAAAAGAGAACTAAAATTGATGGGGTTAAGCCTTTTGAAAAGAGAACTAAAATTGATGGGGTTAAGCCTTTTGAAAAGAGAACTAAAATTGATGGGTTAAGCCTTTTGAAAAGAGAACTAAAATTGATGGGGTTAAGCCTTTTGAAAAGAGAACTAAAATTGATGGGTTAAGCCTTTTGAAAAGAGAACTAAAATTGATGGGGTTAAGCCTTTTGAAAAGTGAACTAAAATTGATGGGTTAAGCCTTTTGAAAAGAGAACTAAAATTGATGGGGTTAAGCCTTTTGAAAAGAGAACTAAAATTGATGGGTTAAGCCTTTTGAAAAGAGAACTAAAATTGATGGGGTTAAGCCTTTTGAAAAGAGAACTAAAATTGATGGGTTAAGCCTTTTGAAAAGAGAACTAAAATCGATGGGGTTAAGCCTTTTGAAAAGAGAACTAAAATTGATGGGGTTAAGCCTTTTGAAAAGAGAACTAAAATTGATGGGGTTAAGCCTTTTGAAAAAAGAACTAAAATTGATGGGTTTAAACCTTTTGAAAAAAGAACTAAAATCGATGGGGTTAAGCCTTTTGAAAAGAGAACTAAAATCGATGGGGTTAAGCCTTTTGAAAAAAGAACTAAAATCGATGGATTTAAGCCTTTTGAAAAGAGAACTAAAATCGATGGGGTTAAGCCTTTTGAAAAGAGAACTAAAATCGATGGGGTTAAGCCTTTTGAAAAGAGAACTAAAATCGATGGGGTTAAGCCTTTTGAAAAGAGAACTAAAATCGATGGGGTTAAGCCTTTTGAAAAGAGAACTAAAATCGATGGGGTTAAGCCTTTTGAAAAGAGAACTAAAATCGATGGGGTTAAGCCTTTTGAAAAGAGAACTAAAATCGATGGGGTTAAGCCTTTTGAAAAGAGAACTAAAATCGATGGGGTTAAGCCTTTTGAAAAGAGAACTAAAATTGATGGGGTTAAGCCTTTTGAAAAGAGAAGGAAAATTGATGTGTTAAGCCTTTTGAAAAGAGAACTAAAATCGATGGGTTTAAACCTTTTGAAAAGAGAACTAAAATCGATGGGGTTAAGCCTTTTGAAAAGAGAACTAAAATTGATGGGTTAAGCCTTTTGAAAAGAGAACTAAAATTGATGGGGTTAAGCCTTTTGAAAAGAGAACTAAAATTGATGGGTTAAGCCTTTTGAAAAGAGAACTAAAATTGATGGGTTAAGCCTTTTGAAAAGAGAACTAAAATTGATGGGTTAAGCCTTTTGAAAAGAGAACTAAAATTGATGGGGTTAAGCCTTTTGAAAAGTGAACTAAAATTGATGGGTTAAGCCTTTTGAAAAGAGAACTAAAATTGATGGGGTTAAGCCTTTTGAAAAGAGAACTAAAATTGATGGGTTAAGCCTTTTGAAAAGAGAACTAAAATTGATGGGGTTAAGCCTTTTGAAAAGAGAACTAAAATTGATGGGTTAAGCCTTTTGAAAAGAGAACTAAAATCAATGGGGTTAAGCCTTTTGAAAAGAGAACTAAAATTGATGGGGTTAAGCCTTTTGAAAAGAGAACTAAAATTGATGGGGTTAAGCCTTTTGAAAAGAGAACTAAAATTGATGGGTTAAGCCTTTTGAAAAGAGAACTAAAATTGATGGGGTTAAGCCTTTTGAAAAGAGAACTAAAATTGATGGGTTAAGCCTTTTGAAAAGAGAACTAAAATTGATGGGGTTAAGCCTTTTGAAAAGTGAACTAAAATTGATGGGTTAAGCCTTTTGAAAAGAGAACTAAAATTGATGGGGTTAAGCCTTTTGAAAAGAGAACTAAAATTGATGGGTTAAGCCTTTTGAAAAGAGAACTAAAATTGATGGGGTTAAGCCTTTTGAAAAGAGAACTAAAATTGATGGGTTAAGCCTTTTGAAAAGAGAACTAAAATCGATGGGGTTAAGCCTTTTGAAAAGAGAACTAAAATTGATGGGGTTAAGCCTTTTGAAAAGAGAACTAAAATTGATGGGTTAAGCCTTTTGAAAAGAGAACTAAAATCGATGGGGTTAAGCCTTTTGAAAAGAGAACTAAAATTGATGGGTTTTAGCCTTTTGAAAAGAGAAGGAAAACTGATGAATTTCTAGAAGGATTCCTGAATAATATACATCCTTATGTGCAGACGACAACTGTAGCACTGACGATTTTCCCAAAGGATTCCTTCTGAATTAGGTAAAGACGACAAGGAATGGTATATTTCCACAAGTGTTAAGGACATCTGGTCATTGGAGCTTAACACAAAAACACAATTTCTAAATCTGTAAGTTTTTGTACTCTTGAAATGTATAGACTGATAAAAATAATAAAACATCAATGATTAAAATAGGCCAACAATTCACAAGTGAAAACAGAAATAAAGAAAACAAATCTTGGAAAGAATTCTGTAATTCACTCTTTCCATCTTTATTCTCATTTATGAAATATTACATTCTCATTATCTTAAACACACCTCTCCCATTCTTCTTAAAACAAGTAAGCATTCTCATTTATATTAAGAAACAAAACATTCTTGTTTATCTTAAATGCAACATTCTCATTCATCATAACAAACACAAAATTCTGCTTTATCTAACAAACACAACATTCTGCTTTATCTAACAAACACAACATTCTGCTTTATCTAACAAACACAACATTCTGCTTTATATCTAACAAACACAAAATTCTGTTTATCTTACAAACACAACATTCTCATTCATCATAACAAACACAAAATTCTGCTTTATCTAACAAACACAACATTCTGCTTTATCTAACAAACACAACATTCTGCTTTATCTAACAAACACAACATTCTGCTTTATCTAACAAACACAAAATTCTGATTTATCTAACAAACACAAAATTCTGATTTATCTAACAAACACAACATTCTGCTTTATCTAACAAACACAAAATTCTGATTTATCTAACAAACACAACATTCTGCTTTATCTAACAAACACAAAGATCTGATTTCTTTAACAAACACAAAATTCTGACAAACATTACATTCTCACTTGCTCAGCAGACAACATTTTTCTATGGATCTTAACAATTGCCTTGACCACTAACCTTCAGACAACATTCAGCAAACCCCCACCCCCCTTGGCCTCCTGTGTCAGGTTCAAAGCATTGTACTGAAAACAGTGAAAGTAACAAAGGCCTTGGTCTCGGAAATCCATTTTTTCAGTATAAGGAAGCACTATATGAAATCTGAAATTGAGGGGTTACAGGGAACTTTGGTTAACCAATGAATACCTTTTGGATA